AAGACGATCTACGGGGGGGTGATGGACGAACAGGGGCTGTAGGTTGGCTTGTAGATATATTTTTGACCAAAAAAAAAAGCAACAAGACCATTATATACAGTCCCCAAAAAGATTTATAGAAATAAAAGAAAAAAAGTAAACCAAGTAAATAAATCCAATCATGAAATATTACACGATTGTAATTTATTTGAAAGGGAGCCCCATAGATAGACAGATTCAAACTGGACTTGTCCTGTAATATTGAATGCATTTCACCTCCTAATCCAGATAGGTTCCTGAGTTCTAACGTGTAAGCCAGGGGTGTCAAACTGGTGGCCCTCCAGCTGCTGCCAAACTACAAGTCCCATCATGCCTCTGTCTTTGGGAATCATGCTTAGAACTGTCAATCTTGCAATGCCTCATGGGACTTGTAGTTTAGCGACAGCTGGAGGGCCGCCAGTTTGACACCTCTGGTGTAAGCGAATGCAAAGGTATAGGGGAATGCAGAACAAGGGTCATAGGGTGGCTTGTAGATCCACTTTTTGACCAAGGAAAAAAGCCACATGGCAGCTGTGTACAGTGCAGAAAAGATTTATAAAAAAGTAAAAAAACAAAAAATAAATATTGGGTAAAAATTAATCCGTTTAAAAAAAAATAAAATAAAATATAATAAAAAAACGAACCAAATGAAAATATTGAGAGAGAGCGAGAGAGAAAAAAGTATGTGAACCCCTTGGGATTACGTGGAGTTTTGCATAAATTGGGCATAAAATGTGCTCTGAACGTCACCTAAGTCACCACAATGGAAGAAAACACAGTCTGCTGAACATAATACTACACAAACATTAGATGTTGCCATGGTTTAATTGCACATAACAGGGGGGGTTGTAAACATTTCACAGTGCAGGGAGGAAAAAGTATGTGAGGCCCTAGCTTAATGACTTCTCCCAGAGCTAATTGGAGCCAGGAGTGAGCCAACCTTGACTCCAATCAGTGTGATGATATTGGATGTGTTGCTGACAGCTGTCCTGCCCTTAAAAAAACACACACCTGTTTTGGGTTTACTGGTTTCAAGAAGCACTGTCTGATGTGAACCATGCCTCGCAGAAAAGAGCTCTCAGAAGACCTACGATCAAGAATTGTTGACTTGCATGAAGCTGGAAAGGGTTACAAAAGTATCTCCAAAAGCCTTGATGTTTCATGTGTCCACGGTAAGACAGACTGTCTACAAATGGAGAAAGTTTAGCACTGTTGCTACTCTCCCTAGGCGCGGTCGTCCTGTAAAAATGACTGCAAGAGCACAGCGCAGAATGCTGCATGAGGTAAAGAAGAATCCCAGAGTGTCAGCTAAAGACCTACAGAAATCTCTGGCACATGCTAACATTTTTGTTGACACATCTACAATAAGGAAAACATTAAACAAGAATGGAGTACATGGGAGGACACCACGGAGGAAGCCATTGCTGTCCAAAAAGAATATTGCAGCACATTTGAAGTTTGCAAAAGAACACCTGGATGTTCCACAGCACTACTGGCAAAATATACTGTGGACAGATGAAACCAAGATTGAGTTGTTTGGGAAGAACACACAACACTATGTGTGGAGAAAAAAAGGCACAGCACACCAACATCAAAACCTCATCCCCACTGTGAAAACATGGCGGAGGGAGCATCATGGTTTGGGGCTGCTTTGCTGCTCAGGGGCCTGGACGGATTGTTGTCATTGATGGAAAAATGAATTCCAGAGTTTTATCAAGACATTTTGCAGGAAAACGTACGACCATCTGTCCACCAACTGAAGCTCCGCAGAGGATGGGTGATGCAAACAGGACAATGACCCAAAGCATACAAGTAATTCAACAAAAACAATGGCTGCAACAGCACAGAATACGCCTTCTGGAGTGGCCCAGTCAGAGTCCTGACCTCAACCCGATTGAAATGCTGTGGCATGACCTTAAGAGAGCGATTCACACCAGACATCCCAAGAATATTGCTACACTGAAACAGTTTTGTGAAGAGGAGTGGTCCAAAATGACTCCAGATCGTTGTGCAGGTCTGATCTGCAACTACAGGAAACGTTTTGGTTGAGGTTATTGCTGCCAAAGGAGGGTCAACCAACCAGTTATTAAGTCCAAAGGTTCACATACTTTTTCCTCCCTGCACTGTGAATGTTTACATGTTATGTGCAATTAAACCATGGCAACATCTAATGTTTGTGTAGTATTATGTTCAGCAGACTGTGTTCTTCTATTGTTGTGACTTAGATGACGTTCAGAGAGCACATTTTTATGCTCAATTCATGCAAAACTCAATCCCAAGGGGTTCACATACTTTTTCTTGCAACTGTATATGTATATATATATATATATATATATATATATATATATATATATATATATATATATATATATACATAGATATATAATATACATAGATAGATAGATAGAGATTATATATACTGTATATATATATATATATATAGAGAGAGAGAGAGAGAGAAGAGAGATAGATAGATAGAGATATATATAGATAGATAGATAGATAGATATGAGTGGGATGCAGTAGCTTGGTATTGTATAAGCAGGTCACATTGTATATTATTTATTGCTATGGTACCCCTTGAACTTGCGATAAGGAGATCTTCAGTTTCCTCTGAATTGTCTTACCTTTTTATTAAACACAACTTCTAAAAAAAAATCCTTTCTGGACTTTATACAACTGATTTGGATTAGGATTCGGTTTAGTTGTATCATATTTATGGAATATAGATAATATATAGGTCTGTAAAGGTGCAAAGGCAAACTATTCAGATGATTTTGCTGTTTCGTAATATAAAAACCCAATGTGAAGCTCTTGTCTATCAAGGCCCTCTGAATCCTCCTGTATTAATTTGTATTATAATTGTACCGTTTGCCCTCATGTTGTAAAGCGTAGCCTGTTGGCGCTATAGAAATCCTGTATAATAATAATTTATACTATGCTATGTTTCCACTTATTTCTTTAACAGCATATCGGCTCTTTTTTGTTTTTGTTTTTTTGCAGACAACCTCGGGAGAGAAAATGAGGGATTTTGCTACCACTCTCAAAAATAAATTTAGGACGCGTCAGTATTTTAGTCGCCACCCGCTGCGAGGCTACCTCCCTGTGCAGTCGATGCTCGAGGCTGAAGTTATTGACACCGACACGTAAGGAACATTGAATATATTGTTTCATATATATATACAGTGAGGAACAGAAGAATTTGAACGCCTGCGATTTTGCAAGTTCTCCCACTTAGAAATCATGGAGGGGTCTGAAATTCACATTGTAGGAGCATTCCCACTCTGAGAGACAGAATTTAAAAAAAAATTCAGGAAATCACGATGTATGATTTGTAAAGAATTTATTTGTCTTGCACTGCTGAACAGAAGTATTTGAACACCTAAGAAACAGCAAGAATTCTGGCTCTCAAAGACCTGTTACTGTGCCTTTAAAAAGTCCACTTCTACTCCACTCATTAATCTAACTTAGTAGCACCTGTCTGAGCTCTTTAAAGACACCTGTCCACCCCACAGTCAGTCAGACACCAACTACTACCATGGGCAAGACCAAAAAGCTGTCAAAAGACACCAGAGACAAAATTTTGGACCTCCACAAGGCTGGAAAGGGCTACAGGGCAATTGCCAAGCAGCTTGGTGAAAATAGATCAACTGTTGGAGCAATTGTTAGAAAATGGAAGAGGCTAAAGACGACTGTCAGTCTCCCTCGGGACTGGGGAACCATGCAAGATGTCACCTCGTGGGGTATCACTGATAAGAATGGTGAGGAATCAGCCCAGAACTACAAGGGAGGAGCTGGTCAATGACATGAAGAGAGCTGGGACCACAGTTTCAAAGGTCACTGTTGGTAGAACACTACGCCGTCATGGTTTCAAATCATGCATTGCATGGAAGGTTCCCCTGCTCAAGTCATCACATGTCCAGGCCCGTCTGAAGTTTGCCAATGACCATCTGGATGATCCAGAGGAGGCATGGGAGAACGTCATGTGGTCAGATGAGACCAAAGTAGAACTTTTTGGTCTAAAACTTCACTCGTTGTGTTTGGAGGAAAAAGAAGGATGAGTTGCATCCCAAGAACACCATCCCTACTGTGAAGCATGGGGGTGGTAACATCATGCTTTGGGGGTGCTTTTTTGCAAAGGGGACAGGACGACTGCACTGTATTAAGGAGAGGATGAATGGGGCCATTTATTGTGAGATTTTGAGCAACAACCTCCTTCCCTCAGTCAGAGCATTGAAGATGGGTCGTGGCTGGGTCTTCCAACATGACAACGACCCGAAGCACACAGCCAGGAGAACCAGGAGTGGCTCCGTAAGAAGCATATCAAGGTTCTGGAGTGGCCTAGCCAGTCTCCGGACCTAAATCCAATAGAACATCTTTGGAGGGAGCTGAAACTCCGTGTTGCTCAGCGACAGCCCCGAAACCGGACAGCTTTCGAGGAGATCTGTGTGGAGGAGTGGGCCAAAATCCCTGTTGTAGTGCAAACCTGGTCAGGAACTACAGGAAACGTCTGACCTCTGGAATTGCAAACAAAGGCTTCTGTACCAAATATTAACACTGATTTTCTCAGGTGTTCAAATACTTCTGTTCAGCAGTGCAAGACAAATACATTCTTTACAAATCATACAATGTGATTTCCTGAATTTTTTTTTTAATTCTGTTTCTCAGAGTGGGAATGCACCTACAATGTGAATTTCAGACCCCTCCATGATTTTTAAGTGGGAGAACTTGAAAAATCGCAGGGGGTTCAAATACTTCTGTTCCTCACTGTATGTGTATGTATGTATGTATATATATATATATATATATATATATACACACAGTTGTGTTCAAAATAATAGCAGTGTGTTGAAAAAAGTGAATAAAGCTGAAAATCCTTCTAATAGCTTTTATTTCCATCCACACAAATGCATTGGGAACACGACACATTCTATTCCAAATCAAAACATGAAGAAAAATACATCACATTTGTGTTGTTCCTCTAAAAAAAAAATTTAAGAAAAGTGAATATTAGACGGTTCAAAAAAAATCGCAGTGTTTGTATTCTTCTTTACAAACTCAAACATTCACTATATAAACTGAAAAATGTTTGAAGATTTTGCTTTTCTTTGAATGACTTCATGAATATTTGGTTGTAGTCGCACTGTTTCTGAGAACTGCTGTACATCTGTGTTGCATGGAGTCACCCAACTTCTGGCCCCTGTGATCAGGTATTCCAGCCCAGGATGATTGGACCACATTCCACAGTTCTTCTCTATTTCTTGGTTTTGCCTCAGAAACGGCATTTTTGATGTCACCCCACAAGTTTTTCTATTGGATTAAGATCCGGGGATTGGGCTGGCCACTCCATAACGTCCATCTTGTTGGTCTGGAACCAAGATGTTGGACGTTTACTGGGTGTGTTTGGGGTCGTTGTCTTGTTGGAACACCCATTTCAAGGGCATTTCCTCTTCAGCATAAGGCAGCATGACCTCTTCAAGTATTCTGATGTATTCAAACTGATCCATGATCCCTGGTATGTGATAAATAGGCCCAACACCGTAGTATGAGAAACATCCCCATATCATGATGCTTGCACCACCATGCTTCACTGTCTTCACAGTGTACTGTGGCTTGAATTCAGTGTTTGGGGGTCGTCTGACAAACTGTCCTCCGCCCACTAGACCCAAAAAGAACAATCTTACTTTCATCAGCCCACAAAATGTTGCGTCATTTCTCTTTAGGCCAGTCAATGTGCTCTTTGGCAGATTGTAACCTCTTCAGCACACGTCTTTTTCCCAACAGTGGGACTTTGCGGGGACTTCTTGCAGATAGCTTGGCTTCACATAGGCGTCTTCTAATTGTAACAGTCCTCACAGGGAACGTCACACCTTCTTTCATCTTCCTGGGGCTGATTGTTGGCTGAGTCCGCGCCATTTTGGCTATTCTTCTATCCATTCCAATGGTAGTTTTTTTTCGCTTTCTTCCACGTCTTTCAGGTTTTGGTTGCCATTTTAAAGCATTTGCGATCATTTTAGCTGAGCAGCCGATCATTTTCTGCACTTCTTTATATGTTTTCCCCTCTCCAATCAACTTTTTAATCAAGGTACACTGTTCTTCTGAACAATGTCTGGAATGACCCATTTTCCTCAGAATTTCAGAGAGAAATGCACTGTAAACCAGCATGTCCAACATTTGCTGCCTTCCTTCCTTGAATAAGAGCAATAATTGCCACCTGTTTTTCAAAGAATGAATGACCTCACTAATAGAACTCCACACTGCTATTATTTTGAACACGCCCCTTTCAATGAGTGATTCAATGACACAGAATCAGCAGCATGCATGTCATGACTGTTGGGTCTGTTGGATTTCTATTACTCTACTACACCTGCTAGGAAATTATTTGCCATGTAGAAATATCATTTCCACCAAAAACAGTAATTGATCCGGTTAGTGATGTCTGACTGCTATTATTTTGAACACAACTGTGTGTGTATATATATATATATATATATATAATATATATATATCGTGGGGCACCGGTAGGTAGGATTGTGGACCTTATATACAGTATGTATGGGACTGTAAGGACTGTTTTTTTTTATTTATTTTAATTATTTATTTTGTGGCAATGGTTCACTCTTGAGCACTTTTTTTGTTTATCCTTTATTGGACATACATTATTTGTATAATGGAAATAATGGTGATAAATAGTAAGCGCTCATAAATAATGCAAGCAGCTGAACATATAGGAAAACACATAAAAGTCCCAAAATACATAAACAGAAGAAATGCAGCGCTCTTGAAAATGATATTAGAAATAATAATAGATACAGTCCAGTAAAACAACAGTGTTCCTTGTTTCCCAGTGTAAATGGTAGAATTTTGCACTAACCAGAACGCGCATGGGTAATGCGCATATGTGTATATATCCTGAAGATCCTTTCTCCACTGAAGGCTGGTCAGGTATATGGCTTGGAAGAATGGAGATCCTACGCCCTCATGTGGTGGGAAATGATCCAGCAGGTCAGAGCAATGACGATCCAGATGAGCCTCCACAAGGAACTGGCACAGGAATCCCAAGGGCTACAAGGATGGAAAAGCTCCTCACAGGAGACACAGGGAGCACTCATAGTGTAGTAATTTAAAACTTTATTGGAAAGCAGCATAGGTGCAGAATACAGGAGAATAGCCAAGTATGGGCAAACACACTGACCCTATTGGGATGTCAAAATGGCCGCCGGGCCTCCTCGTGGCACCGGCGGCTTGATGTCAACGGCGTCCTAGGGTCCCACCTGACGCGTTTCGTGCGCACAGCACTTCCCCAGAGGTGGAACATAGGTATGGGACCCCAGAACGCCGTTGACATCAAGCCGCCGGTGCCACGAGGAGGCCCGGCGGGCCATTTTGACATCCAATAGGGTCAGTGTGTTTGCCCATACTTGGCTATTCTCCTGTATTCTGCACCTATGCTGCTTTCCAATAAAGTTTTAAATTACTACACTATGAGTGCTCCCCTGTGTCTCCTGTGAGGAGCTTTTCCATCCTTGTAGCCCTTGGGATTCCTATGCCAGTTCCTTGTGGAGGCTCATCTGGATCGTCATTGCTCTGACCTGCTGGATCATTTTCCACCACATGAGGGCGTAGGATCTCCATTCTTCCAAGCCATATACCTGACCAGCCTTCAGTGGAGAAAAGGATCTTCAGGATATATACACATATGCGCATTACCCATGCGCGTTCTGGTTAGTGCAAAATTCTACCATTTACACTGGGAAACAAGGAACACTGTTGTTTTACTGGACTGTATCTATATTATTTCTAATATCATTTTCAAGAGCGCTGCATTTCTTCTGTTTATTATTTGTATAATATTTATGAATTTTCCTGATGTATTTAAATTTCACTTAGCGCAACACACATGGAGGAAAAATATATTTTAAAAATATTCTTCCCAATATATTGACATATATTTGAAATAACACAATTTTGGCCGTATTCAATATATTTCAAAATATATTTTAATACATTTTTTAAGTTTACGAATGCCTCGGTTAATGTAATTTTCGGTTCATGAATGAAAATCCATTGAAAATAATGCCTTGATTTACAAATTTTTAAAAAAAAAAAATTTGCAATACGAAGGTATGTCAGTGCCGATTTTTAAATGCAATTGCCAGCTTTTTTTGTTCTTCACTATAGCTCACAGAATTAGTAGTCACTTTCACTGGAGCTAAAGGATACTTTGTTTCTTTCATCTTGGGAAACAAACTAAAAGGAAACATTGTTTCTTTTAACTCCGGGATACAAAAAAGAAACATTGTTTTTTAGCTGGGGGGGAAAGTGACAGCTGATTCTCTGAGCTATAGTGCAGAAAGAAAAAAATCTGCTAATTACATTTAAAAACCGGCACTGGCCTATAGTGACAGCAACTTTTTTTTTTGTTTACTTTTTTTTTGTTTACTTTTTTCCTTTCTCCGGAATGGATCAATTGGTTTTCAATGCATTCCTATGGGAAACCGCATTTCAGTTTGCGAATTTTTCGCAATACGAAACATCCCTGTATATCCTAGATTGTAAGCTCTAATGAACAGGGCCCTCTGTTTCCTCTTGTACCAAATTGTATTGTAACTGTAATGTCTGCCTTCATTTTGTAAAGCGCTGAGCAGACTGTTGGCGCTATATAAATCCTGTATAATAATTATATATATATATACTATATGTTGAAATGCATTTTTATTACAAAATATATGAAAAGTACTTTTAAAGATACATTTTCAAATATACTGCATGTCTTTAAAAATACATTTAATCTACATTTTTGGAATGCTTTTACAAATATGTTAAAATGACTTTTTTATAAGTAAAAAAAAATCTGAATATATTTGAAAGAAATATATTTTAAAAAATATTTTTCATATATTTTGTAATATTCAAAATATTTCAACATTTCAACATACAGTATATATGTATGTATGTGTATATATATATATATATATATATATATATATATATATATATATATATATATATACATATATATATATATATATATATATATATATATATATACACACACATATACTGCATATTGAAATACAAAATATATATAAAATATTTTAAAGTGTGTGTGTATATATATATATATATATTATATAATTATTTTATTATTGTATTTTTTTTTTTTTTTAATATATTGAATACGGCCAAAATTGTAGTATTTTAAATATATGTCAATATATTTGGGAAGATTATGTTTAAAATATATTTAAAATACATTTTTTCTTCCATGTGGGTACGGCCCAAGTTTTTTTCTTTGACACATAGTGAAGAGCTCCAGGGTTTGTGTCTGATATGGAGGGAACTAACTTTGTTGTTTTCTTAGATCTTAATAAATGTTTTCTGGGCCCTGGAGTCCCGAGGCTTTGTAGAGTTTTGATTGGGATAAAGCCTAAAGTCCTAGGCCCACGTTTTGGTAGCAAGTGCTCATTAGTAGTTTTTAGCCTTTATATATGCATGGCCTAGGTTTTTCACCCGCACATAGTGAAGAGCTGCGGGTTGTTCTCTGATATGGGGAGGAAACAAACTTTGTTGTTTTCTTAGAATTTAATTAATGTTGTTCTGGGCCCTGGAGCCCGGAGGCTTTGTAGAGCTTTGGTTGGTATAAAGCCTCGAGTCTTAAGTCCCTGCCTGGGTAGCAAGAACTCATTAGTGGTTTTAGCTGTGCGCACGCCTTCATAAAGGCATGGCCTAGGACTAGGTTTTTCACCCACACATAGTGAAGAGCTGCGGAGTTTGTCTCTGACATGGAGGAAACAAAAGTTTGCTGTTTTCTCAGATGTCAATAAATGTTCATCGCGTCATTTACTAATTCCACTATTAATTTGTGGCAGGTCCTTGTCCTCCCCGATGCTTCCACACGCTGATACACATTCAAGGATAGAACACTTTGCCAGCAGGTTTGTATCAATTACTCAGACGATGCTTTTGGAGATATTGTGGGTTTTGGTTGATATATTTTTTTTTTTTTCCTGCGATTTTTTTTTTTTTAATTGGTGACAGGGTCTTATTAACCCCTGGATGCTGCCTAGTGATGCTTGAAAAGGCTCTGAATACCTTGCATCGAAGGCAGGCTTCCTGACCATATGACTGCTGTGATTGGCTGTCACATGATCAGAAGCTTCCAGGAACTGGCTAACCATAAATTGATGAGACATTAGACTGAGTATGTTTTGTGTTTCGGTGACGTAACGCTTTCTTTGCGTTCTTTCCAGGCTTGCCGAAATGGAAAATCAGAGCGGGTCCTTCTTTACCGATAGTCTTTCCCCTGATGACAGCATGTGAGTTTATCCCTGCTTAGCGATTTCATTTGTATCTCCTTCACATAAAATATTTGACATTTTGATCACTTGTATCTTTTGTATGAGTGTATGAAAGGATTCTGATGAAAAAAAAAAAAAAAAGATAGGTCAGAAGTGGAGTAAAAAAATAGCTGGTCAAACCATGTATTTTTGGAGCTGGCTTTGTTATCAGGGGCACCTTCATGGTGGAACAGAAAAGGGTCTTCACCAAACTGTTTCCATAAGGTTGGGTGATCAGAGTGGTCTACAATGTCTTTGTATGATGGACTATTAAGACACCCGTTCAGTGGGGTTGAGGTCAGGGCTATGTGCAGGACACTCAAGTTCCTTCACACCAAACTGGTCAAACCATGTCTTTATGGAGCTGGCTTTGTAAACAGGGACACCTTCATGTTGGAACAGAAAAGGGCCTTCACCAAACTGCTAACGCAAGGTTGGGAAAGCACAATTGTCTACAATGTCTTTGTATGATGGACTATTAAGACACCCATTCAGTAGGGTTGAGGTCAGGGCTATGTGTAGGACACTCAAGTTCCTTCACACCAATCTGGTCAAACCGTGACTTTATGAAGCTGGTTTTGTACACGGGACAGTTAAGGTAGAACAGAAAAGGGTCTTCACCAAACTGTTTCCACAAAGTTGGGAGAGCACAGTTGTCTACAATGTCTTTGTATGATGGAGTATTAAGACAACTTTTCAGTAGGGTTGAGGTCAGGGCAATGTGCAGGACATGCAAGTTCCTCCACACAAAACTGGTCAAAGCATGTCTTTTTGGAGCTGGCTATCACGTACCTGGTGAAAACCAGAACATTGTGGAGGCCTCTCTCCTGCCCAACACTCTTGCAAGATGGAGACAGGAGAGTGTCATCATGGAGTGGCACGAGTGCTGTGGTAGTCAAGTGTGCAAGCTAAATGATATGTACATGCACTCATGCATGTGTGTATGCTCGCGCACAAACATGCGTGCAATGAACTGGCACAGTACATCTAGCATTGCCCCTTTGCTTGGAAAATTAAGCATGTGTGCAATGTGCATGTGAATGAGCACAAGCACAGGTTTACTGGTGCTATGAATCTGGTTTACCTTGCATTGGCTTTGTACACCAGGGCACAGTCATGCTGGAACAGAAAAGGGTTTTCACCAAATTGTTACCACAAGGGTGAAAGCCAACTATTGCCTAAAATACACTACATTGCCAAAAGAATTGGGCCGCCGGCCTTGCCACGCACATGACCTTTAATGGCCCCCCAGTCTTAGTCCGGAGGGTTCAATATTGAGTTGGCCCCGCCCTTTGCAGCTATACCAGCTTCAACTCTTCTGGGAAGGCCGTCCACAAGGTTTAGGAGGGTGTCTATGGGAAGGTTTGACCATTCTTCCAGAAGCACATTTGTCAGCTCAAGCACTGATGTCGGGGGAGGAGGCCTGGCTCGCAGTCTCCGCTCTAATTCATCCCAAAGGTGTTCTTTCGGGTTGAGGTCAGGACTCTGTGCAGGACAGTCAAGTTCCTCCACCCCAAACTGGCTCATTCATGTCTTTATGGACCTTGCTTTGTGCACTGGTGCGCAGTCATGTTGGAACAGGAAGGGGCCATCCCCAAACTCTTCCCACAAAGTTGGGAGCATGAAATTGTCTTGGTATGCTGACACCTTAAGAGTTCCCTTCACCAACACCTAAAAAACAACCCCACACCATAATCCTCCCTCCACCAAACTTTACACTTGGCACAATGCATTCAGGCAAGTACCGTTCTCCAGGCAACCGCCAAACCTAGACACGTTCATCGGACTGCCAGACAGAGAAGCATGATTTGTCGCTTCAGAGAACACATCTCCACTGCTTTAGAGTCCAGTGGTGGCATGCTTTACACCATCGTATCCAACGCTTTGCATTGCACTTGGTGATGTAAGGCTTGGATGCAGCTGCTCGGCCATGGAAACCCATTCCATGAAGCTCTCTACACACTGTTGTTGGGCTCATCTGAAGGCCACACCAAGTTTGGAGGTCTTTAGCTATTGACTCTGCAGACAGTTGGTGACTTCTGCGCACTGTGCGCTTCAGCATGCGCTGACCGCGCTCTGTCATTTTATGTGGCCTACCACCTGAACTTATCAGTTTAAAAGGATGTCTACATGCTAATAGAACTTACTTGATCAGACACCCATTACTGGCCATAAATAAAATGTCCTATGTTTTGTTTCTTCAAGCGATGAAGATCAGTATATACTACGCCATTCCAGTCCGATCACAGACCGAGACCCATGCGGTACTTCACAGTGTACAGGAACAATGGATCCGAAGGAAGAAGAGGGTGAGCTGGAAAAGGTCATCGCACAACTGGAGCATGAAAACAGGTACTAACACACCAGTCGTATCTTTAGGACATAAGTACATTCAACTTTTGCGGTTCTCCCCAAAACCCCATCATGGTAGGGTACCGTCAAGGGAGCCCTGGTGTTCTTCTCTAGAATCAGCCCTCCTGGTAGTGTGGCAGAGATGGCCTTTGGGTGCTGAAGATTCAGAAATGCTTGGAAGAGCTTTTTTGAACCTCCAACAGGAACTTGTAGAACCAGCAGAATGTGAACGTTGGGCCTAGGGACCAGACAGGAGTGGTGAAGTCAGCAGGCAGCCAGCGAAGATCTGCAGGAGTTATTGAGGTGCAATCCCAGGTCAGGAGTAGACCAGGTGAGAGTCATGGCAAGGTACCAAATCAAAGGTCAAAGACCAGGCCAGGGTTGTAACCACACTCCAGGTTGTCCATAGCCAGGTCTTCTACTATACCTTACCTTTTCTCTACTGCAGTTTAACAATACAATTTGATGATCCAGCTTCTGATTGGACCGTGAAGAAAAATCCAAACAGCCGAATGTTGCTAAGAACACGACTATCTTCTTGTTGACAATGCAGAATTGAGAATGCAGCTCGTCCTGCTTGCGCGATTACTTCTGTGCAGGTGGTAACGGGAGGTGGAGATCAGAGCAGATTCTATCTCTTCGTAAAATGCATTTAATTTTTTTTTGCTTTAGATAAACTCATAACTAGGTTTATTGATTTTTCTTTTTTTTTTCCTATCGGGAGTTCATTTTCAAAGGAAATGTAAACTCCCGACTGCAAAGCTTGGTCCACACGATGAGAATATCGGAGGAACGGTATCCGTTTGAGAGGCTTCTAAAGTCATTCAAAATTCATTGGGAAGAATTTTCCCCTTTATAGATAGCTAAAAAAGATGTACGGTGTCAGTAGGAAGTTATCGTAGAGGCAGAAATTGCTCAAGGAACCTCTAGCAGCCTCTGGAGGAACCCTGGCTGAGAAACCCTCAACGTTAGGCAGAAATTGCATTTTTACTGAACTTCTGAGTTCTGGTCTCCTGACTGATTTTGTACATCTGGGAGTGCAGGTTATCCTTGGCGTAGGGATGTAGAACTCTCCCCCCATCGCCCTGTCCTCGATCGCAGGTGGGTCCCGGATATAGTGTAAGCAATTGTCATTCTATGTAGAATTCTACAGGGAGAGCTGAAAAGACTCAAATGGCGACATGCGGAGGCTGGAGAGCAAGCCCTCCTCGGCGAGGTGTCGCCGGATTCGGGAGGCAGCGGCAGTGGCGATGTACAGAGCGAGGAATTGCTAAGCGAGGCGCGGATTTTACGGCATCACAAAAGCCGCCTTGAGACTCGTATGCAGATATTGGAGGACCACAACAAGCAACTGGAGTCCCAGCTGCATCGTCTCAGGGAATTGCTTCTACAGGTACAGAGCAGTTCAATTTGCTGAATACGTTGCTTGTGCATTGGAAAGTGTTATCTGTTAAAGTTGCTAGATCAGGCCCCCTCCAGGCTGCTAGAAAAGTTGCCAGCAGGACCCCCTCCAGTCTGCTAGACAGGTCGCCGGCAGGGCTCCTGCAGGCTGCTAGACAAGTCACTGGCAGGACCCCGTCTGGGCCGCTAGACCTGTGCATGCAGAGCTCCCTCCGGGCCTTCAGACCGGTCCCCCGCAGGGCTCCCTCCGGGCCTTCGCTCCAGTCCCCCCACAGGGCTCCCTCTGGGGCCGCCGGACCGGTCCCCCCCGCGGGGCTCCCTCCGGACCGCTATACCGCTGCTAGACAAGTTGCCGGCAGGACCCTGTCCGGGCCGCTAGACCTGTCCATGCAGAGCTACCTTCGGACTGGTCCCCCCGCAGGGCTCCCTTCGGACCGGTCCCCCCGCAGGGCTCCTTCTGGTGCCGCCAGACTGGTCCCCCCGCAGGGCTCTCTCCAGACCGGTCCCCCCCCGCAGGGCTCCCTCCAGACCGGTCCCCCCCCGCAGGGCGGCCCCTGGACCGCTACGCCAGTCCCCCCGCGGGACTCCCGGCCCACCAGACCCGTCCCCCGCAGGTCTTCCTGCAGGCCACTACACTGGTCCCCCTGCAGTGCTCCCTCTAGGCCGCTAAACCGGGGTTACTCACAGGCTCCTCCCTTCAGGCTGCTAAACCAATCCCTGTAGACCTCCCTCCAAGCCACTAGACTTATCCCCGCAGCCTCTTCTCTACACTCCAAACTGGTAGTTGGATGCCCTCTGATATCACCTGTGTTGGCCCAGCTCCTCTCCCCCTCCTACATCATATCCCTCTCTTTTTCTAAAGAGAGACCCTTTCCACCGCTCACCCTTTCCAACTCTTCTCATCTCTACAACATAGAGACAGTCATCCGTCTAGACTGATGATGATGGCATCAGTCTGCTGCAAGCAGGAGGAAGCATTTTCCTCAGTCTCCTCCCTCCTCAGCAATTAGACTGCAACCTTGTAACAAGTTAGAAATTGGGTGGCTGCAGCAGGGGCTGATCTGTGTCAGACATTTGTGAACACAGCCAGAAACCGCGGGGAAAGTCCAGGAAGTAGATGAAGAGCCTGAACAAAGATGGTGCCAACCTTAGAAAGAGAAAAACAGATGAAGGCATTGTCAGGGGGGGAGGTACTACACCTGATCCTGATCTTACCCCCCCCCCCGCTGTCTGAGTGACTATATCCCATACTGTTTGCAGCCTAGCGTGGATGAAGGCAAGCCTCTGTCATCAGCCCCGTCTCCGGATTCCGAGAGCAAGTCGTATCAGAACAACGGGACGCCCGAGACCGAGGCTGCAGGTAATGCTTCCCATAAATGATGTACATGCAGACAGATGGATCTGTTCAATCCCTCTACAATACGATGTTGCCATATGTATGGGCAGCCTACAGCCACCCTGCCACATCGCAGATAAAATCTTACAGTATTTGTATTTTCTATCAATTTATTTTTTTATTCACTTGAAAAAGATCTGAACTGGCTGGCAAATTTGACTACTCAGGAAGAGTCAATTCCCCAACAAAGACCCCTCCCCCTTACAGTCATAGACACTCCCATCACATCCAAGATGGCGGCAAAGAGCAGCAGTCTCAGTGCTTTTGGAGGCTTTAAATGAGTAATATAATAATTATGTATTATTATTAGCATGTGCTGACCTAGTCATTATTAATTATTTTTAAAATGGTTATAAAACATATTTAAATATTAAGCAATGTGATAATTGTTATTGGCATGTACGGATTTCATTATTAGTAATAATAATGTTATAAATATATTTAATTCTAATAATGAGTTATTATGAATGTGCTGATTTAGTCATTAATTAGTAGTAAAAATAATCCCAATAATTATTTTACAATTAAATAAAAATACAAATACAATAAGCAATTATCATCACTACTATTAGAATGTGTACTGATTGAGGTATATTCAGTAATAATTATAATAACAGTTATAAATATTATGTATTATTTAAAAATACTATTTATAACTATGTTGTTATAATTATTACTGAATATATCTAAATCAGTACACATTCTAATAGTAGTGATGATAATTACTTATTATAGGTTTATTATGTATTATTTATAGGTAAAGTTGATCCAGGGAATATCTGATTGCCTCTCGGGGATCAGGAAGGAATTTTTTTCCCCTGCAGGAGCAAATTGGATCATGCTTTGCTGGATTATTTTTTTTTTTTGCCTTCCTCTGGATCAGTGGTTCTCAACCTTTCTAATGCCGCGACCCCTTAATACAGTTCCTCATGTTGTGGTGACCCCCAACCATAAAATTATTTTCGTTGCTACTTCATAACTGTAATTTTGCAGTGGGAGGACTAGCGCCCCATCACTGATGTCAGTGGGATGAATAGTGTCCCATCATTGGTATCAGTGGGAGGAATAGTGTCCCATCATTGGTATCAGTGGGAGGAATAGTGCCCCATCATTGGTATCAGTGGGATGAATAGTGTCCCATCATTGGTATCAGTGGGAGGAATAGTGCCCCATCGTTGGTGTCAGTGGGAGAAATAGTGTCCCATCGTTGGTGTCAGTGGGAGGAATAGTGCCCCATCGTTGGTGTCAGTGGGAGAAATAGTGTCCCATCGTTGGTGTCAGTGGGAGGAATAGTGCCCCATCGTTGGTGTCAGTGGGAGGAATAGTGCTCCATCGTTGGTGTCAGTGGGAGGAATAGTGCCCAATCGTTGGCGTCAGTGGGAGGAATAGTGCCCAATCGTTGGCTTCAGTGGGAGGAATAGTGCCCCATCGTTGGCTTCAGTGGGAGGAATAGTGCCCCATCGTTGGCGTCAGTGGGAGGAATAGTGCCCCATCGTTGGCGTCAGTGGGAGGAATAGTGCCCCATCGTTGGCGTCAGTGGGAGGAATAGTGCCCCATCGTTGGCGTCAGTGGGAGGAATAGTGCCCCATCGTTGGCGTCAGTGGGAGGAATAGTGCCCCATCGTTGGCGTCAGTGGGAGGAATAGTGCCCCATCGTTGGCGTCAGTGGGAGGAATAGTGCCCCATCGTTGGCGTCAGTGGGAGGAATAGTGCCCCATCGTTGGCGTCAGTGGGAGGAATAGTGCCCCATCATTGGCGTCAGTGGGAGGAATAGTGCCCCATCATTGGCGTCAGTGGGAGGAATAGTGCCCCATCATTGGCGTCAGTGGGAGGAATAGTGCCCCATCATTGGTATGAGTGGGAGGAATAGTGCCCCATCATTGGTGTCAGTGGGAGGAATAGTGCCCCATCGTTGGTATCAGTGGGAGGAATAGTGCCCCATCGTTGGTGTCAGTGGGAGGAATAGTGCCCCATCGTTGGTGTGAGTGGAAGGAATAGTGCCCCATCGTTGGTGTGAGTGGGAGGAATAGTGCCCCATCGTTGGTGTGAGTGGGAGGAATAGTGCCCCATCGTTGGCGTCAGTGGGGGGAGGAATAGTGCCCCATCGTTGGCGTCAGTGGGGGGAGGAATAGTGCCCCATCGTTGGCGTCAGTGGGGGGAGGAATAGTGCCCCATCGTTGGCGTCAGTGGGGGGAGGAATAGTGCCCCATCGTTGGCGTCAGTGGGGGGAGGAATAGTGCCCCATCGTTGGCGTCAGTGGGGGGAGGAATAGTGCCCCATCGTTGGCGTCAGTGGGGGGAGGAATAGTACCCCATCGTTGGCGTCAGTGGGGGGAGGAATAGTGCCCCATCGTTGGCGTCAGTGGGGGGAGGAATAGTGCCCCATCGTTGGTATTAGTGACACAAATGATGGGGCACTATCCCTCCCACTGACACCAATGATACTTACCTTGCTGACTCCTGCTCCAGCCTGGGCTCGCTCTCTCCCTCTCTCATCTACAGCCTGCATACCTGGCTGCAGCAGCAAAATTTGCACTTACCTGTCAGCTGTCTTCCTTCTCTGGCCTCTCTCTTCACTCGTTCCTGCAGCTCCCTCGATCTTCTTCGATCTCCCGCGCGCTGCCGCTCGGCTCCTCCTCTCCAAGCTCCACCTTCTCGCCGGTGATTGGCCGCCTGTGTACCTCTCCTGAGCTACAGTTCCGGTGGCCAATCAGCGGCGAGGAGGCGGTGACAGGGGCAGCATATCATCCCGCCCACACATCGCCGGAGACAGCAGCGGTGTCTCGGTTCCTAAGACCATCGGAAATATGTGTTTCCGATGGTCTTAGGCGACCCCTGGGAAATGGTCGTTCGACCCCCAAAGGGGTCGCGACCCCCAGGTTGAGAACCGCTGCTCTGGATCAACTGTGGGTATAGGATTATAACTGTTTTTTTTTTTTCTTATGGTTGAACTGGATGGACTTTTGTGTTTTTTCAGCCAGACTAACTATGTAACTATTTAGATAGACTAAGTAACAATTATTATCAGCATATTAGTAATATATATATATATATTTGTTATACATATTATTATTATTACTAATAATGACTAAATCGGTACTTGCTGATCATAATTAATGATATTATTTATATGTTTATTACTTAAATATAATATTTATAACAATTTTATTTGTATATTTATTACTAATAATACTTAAATCAGTACATTCTAATAGTAATAAAACTTATATTTTTATTATATTATTTAATTAAAAATAATCTTAATAAAAAATTATAAAATTTTATATTACTGATTTAGTAATAACTAATTGCAAATATATTTTAAAAATTAATGTTATTACAAAAAAGAACTAAAAATCAGGACATGCTATTAATTATTATATTACTTATAAATAGTATTATTTTGTGATTTTTTTTTTTTAGTAATAATAACAATAGCTACAAATATTATATTTTAAAATTATAATTAGTTATTATTAATTAGTAATAAAAATAATCATAAATGTTATAATTAAAGAATATAATATTGAAAATATATAATAATTATTTATTATTAGAATGTACTGATTTAGGTATTATTAGTAATAAATATACTAATAAAATTATTTTATTATTATTTTAATTATTCCTAAATCAGAAAATGCTATTAGTAATAACTAATTATATATTTATCATAATTTTTAAAATATATTTGTAACATTGTTATTATTACTAAAATAACTAAATCAGGACATGCTAATAATAATTATTATTATATTACTTATTATATGTTATTTTTAAAATATACTATTTATAACTATTAGCATGTCCTGATTTAGTGATTTTTAGTAATCATAATAGCTACAAATAATATATTTTAAAATTATAATAAATATATAATTATTAGTTATTGCTAATAGCATGTACTCAATTTGTCATTATTAACTAGTAACAGAAATAAAAGTTATTAAATAATATAAGAAGTATTATTACTATTAGAATGTACTGAATTAGGTATTATTAGTAATAATTATACTAATAAAATGATTTTAGTTTAATTAAAAAAACAAAAATATATATATACCGTATATATATATATATATATATATATATATATATATATATATATATATATATATATATATATAAGGTTTTTTGTATAAATACTAACATTAGTTATTATCAGAAGTACCGATTAGTCATTAATAATAATATGTATAACAATTTTATTATGATAAATATTAATTACTAAATTGGTACAGTCTGATAATAATTTATATATATTTTTTTGCATATAATATTTATAACACTTTTTGGTTATTTTTTTTTAAAATACAATAGTAAATTTATAATAAGTAATATAATACTTAGCTACTATTACTATAAGCATGTACTGATTTAATTATTAGTAATAATTATAACCTTGTTATAAATATATTTAAATAAAAATATAATAATGTAATGATTTGTTACTATTACCATGTATTGATCTAGCTATTATTAGGACTTATATTGATTGCAAATATTATATTTAAATAGTAATAATAATTGTATCAATTATTATATTTTTATTATATTATTTAAATATATTTGCAATCAGTATAAATTCCTAATCGCTAAATCAGAACACGCTAATAATATAATGGATAAATAATATTATTATTACTATTAGCGTGTTCTGATTTAGCTTTTATTAGGAATTATACTGATTGCAAATATTATATTTAAATAATATAATTCCTAATAAAAGCTAAATCAGAACACGCTAATAGTAATAATAATATTATTTATCCATTATATTATTAGCGTGTTCTGATTTAGCGATTAGGAATTTATACTGATTGCAAATATATTTAAATAATATAATAAAAATATAATCATTGATACAATTATTATTACTATTAGCGTGTTCTGATTTAGTTTTCTTTTTCAGGCTTTCATTTCCCTATTTTTCACCCAGTGATCATGCCAGTAACACAATATAGCGTGTCGGAACGTGCTGCAGAAAATTGCTATGTGTCCTATGTTTTTTTTTTTTTTTTTTTTTTGTGGGTTTTTTTTTTGACCAGCACAGTGCATTTGTGTGAAGTGAAGTCGTAGGAGATGGGGCAAAGAGCCTCATTCTTGTGTCTGGACTGTGTTGGGCAACGCTACTCAGTGTTGCTGGTGTGACCGAGCTCTTACCTATTTTACATACCAAGGATCTTTACCAGATTAAAGTACTAATGAACATTTTTTTTTTTTACAAAATATTATTGTATCTTTTCCGTGTGCTGGAAGTTTAACCAATCATTTTCTTTAGATGACATGGACAGTCGAACAAAAGACATCGGGCTATGCTTTGAAGACATAATGGAAAAGCTAAGAAATGTGCTTCCAAGTGCAAAAGGTACAAGAAATTTTTTTTTCTGGAATACAAATACTCCCTACTTTTAGTGGAAGGGAATTAAAGGAAGAAAGATATAATCATGAAATGTATTCATAAATACAAGCAATGTAAGTGTTTGAATGGAGCCTGGTATCGGCCTCTTGCAGCCCCTGTGCAGCTGGGCTGGAGTGTGAGGGGAAGAAGCAGCAGCAGAGATGAGCTCAGCACCGTGCTGTTTTCCCTTTCACTGTCCAGTCACAGGTTGGGGGCTCGTCCGGGAGGAAGCAAGAACACTGCGAAACGCGTTGATCTATCATGCCAGTTTGAAACCCTAAACGTGTTTGTTACATCATTATAATAATACATCAAATGCCATATCATTTTGAATGTAACAAACGCATGTTTAGGGTTCCAAACTGGCATAATAGATCAACGCGGTTCACAGTGTTCTTGCTTCCTCCCGGACGAGCCCCCAACCTGTGACTGAACAGTGAAAGGAAAAACAGCACGGTGCTGTGCTCATCTCAATTATACCAACTGCTATGACATCATCCGTTAACTCCTTCCCGCCCAGCCCCGGTGGCGTCCCTTTAATAAGGTCTCCATCGGAGAATATGTGACCAATGCGATTGGCTGTCAGTTCTACAAAAGTCAACTGACAGATTTGTGAAGCCGGCAGGGCAACCAACTGTTCTCTGAATCAGCCGAAATTCTAACAAGCATCATTCAAAACACTTCCTCTGAGCCCAGGTCTTCCCGGATGCGTCGCTACCCATACGCTTTCTGCACAGCCACAATTTTTGGGGGATGGATAAACAAGATTCAAATCTTTGAATGTGCCTTAATGGTGACATATAAAACACTAAAATTAAAAAAAAAACAAAAAACTTTATTACAGCATTATAATAATACATCAAATGCCATATCATTTTGAATGTAACAAAGTTTTTTTTTTACGTTTTAATGTTAGTGGTTTATATGTCCCCATTAAAAGTCCCTTTTTAATCTTGTTTCTCCTTCCCCCAAAAATTGTGGCTTTGCAGAATGCGTATGGGTAGCGACACATCCGGGAAGACCTGGGCTCAGAAGAAGTGGGACACTAAAATTAAAAAAAAAAAACAAAAAAAACTTTATTACAGCATTCTAATAATACATCAAATGCCATATCATTTTGAATGTAACAAAGTTTTTTTTTTTTTTACGTTTTAATGTTAGTGGTTTATATGTCCCCATTAAAAGTCCCTTTTTAATCTTGTTTCTCCATCCCCCAAAAATTGTGGCTTTGCAGAATGCGTATGGGTAGCGACACATCCGGGAAGACCTGGGCTCAGAAGAAGTGGGATGATTGATGCTTGCCATCATACTCAAGGACTGTTAGAATTTCGGCTGATTCAGAGAACAATGGGTTGCACTGCCGGTTTCACAAATCTATCAGTTGACTTTTGTAGAAGTGACAGCCAATCACATTGGTCACATATTCTCCGATGGAGACCTTATTATAGGGACGCCATCGCAGCTGAGCGGGAAGGAGTTAACAGATGATGTCACAGCTGTTGGTAAAATTTTGTTTGCAGGAAACGGCATTGGCTATCTCCCCACATGGAAGAAAAATATATTTGAAAATTATATTTGCCGTCAAAAATATTCTTCCCAAATATATTGAATTATATTTGAAATACTACAATTTTGGCCGTATTCAATATATTTGGCCGTTTTTCAGATATTTTGTAACAAAAAACACATTTCAACATGCAGTATATATATATATTTATTGAAATATATTTGAAATATATTTTTTATTCAATATATATATAATTTGAAATATATTTTTAAAAATATTTTTCAGATATTTTGTAACAAAAACACATTTCAACATGCAGTATATATAATTATTTATTGAAATATATTTGAAATACTACAATTTTGGCTATATACAATATATGTCAATATTTCAAATATATTTCAATAAATATACACACTGCATGTTGAAATGCATTTTTATTACAAAATATATTTTTAAAAATATATTTGAAATATATTTGAAAAATATTCTTCCCAAATATATTGACATATATTGAATATGGCAAAAATTGTATATTTGGGAAGAATATTTTTCAAATATATTTTTCTTCCATATGGGTAAAAAGTAAGCTTTCCTGTGCCCATTATTTTATTTTTTTTGTTCAGATGACGCTGCCGAATGACTGGAGTCCGATGTCGCCACTGTGCCGGCGGGCATCTCCTAGAACACAGCGTGCAACGTAACCAGATGAAGGATGATCAGCTTTGCTGAAAAATTCTTACAAATTCAAGCCAAAGAAAGGGGGGGACGCTGAAAGTCGCCTAAGAAACAAATCACTCTGCGTTCACACCGGATCTTGGGAAGCTGAACAATATCCACGGGGGGAGGGAGGACAGGCTTGGAAGAAGATCTGTATAGTTCTGCAAACGGTTTGCCTGTCTCGGCTTTATCATTTCCCCCCTTTCAAAGAACTGGTTGATATTTTTGGCTGCTGGTGAGATGGAAAGATTTTTGGCAAGTACAGCTGTTCGTCCTGAGAGGCCGATCGATGCTGATGGGCAGCATACATGGAAAAGCACATAATACTAAGGATTACTAAGGAACAATAATGGTGCATACTAAGTATACTAGAGAATGTTACTCAGCGGGGACAGAATCTGTAATAAATAACTGATGCTACCCTCTAGGCTTCCGCTCCATGGTGACAAATTGTATCTGCAGTCCTTCATCCAAGCTTTAAAGCTGAATTCAAATTGTAGATTTTTTTTTTTTTTTTTTTTGCAGTTACATTCGTCTAGTTTGGACCAACAATAGTTGGATCCTTCTGGAAGTGGAGGATCAGTGTGGTAATCAATGCTACTACAGTGATCTCTGCCGTCTTCCGCTGAGCGGTTGCCCTTCTGCGTAGAGAACACAGGGGGCGCCCACTTGGCCTTGGCAGCCACTTGGCCTTGGCGCCATTCACAGAACGTCTTGTATTTTTCCTCAATGGACACAAAGTGCTCTCTCCAGGTGGAGCTCACAAAATCACTGCCCTGCCTCCTCCACCTTCTTCAGGTCAGAGAGCGCTTTGCAATTGTACGTGTGCAATCCTTCAACCAGGGAGGGGCGCTGTTTGCCATCTTCGTCCTGAGCACTGGTTGACTTCCTAATACTGTCCACGGCCCGGCTCTCCTCTCTCTCCTCTTTCTACTTCATTGGCTGAGTGATGTGACCACAGAGTAGGAAAGGGAGTAGTGGTGCTGGTGCCCACTGGTGGTGGGAGGTTGGCAGTGCAGGTTGTGCTGGCCAGCCTGCACCCAACATGTCACAGGCCGGTACTGGTTCATGGCCTGGGGACAGCTGATCTACGGTCATCAGCCAGGTATGGCACATGCCCATTTACAGTGCTGAACGGAAAAAGTGCTGCATGCGTTCACTTGGACTGGAGGACCACAGGGACAGGGGATTTACAACCCAAAAACCCAACTCAAGGTCATTACACCCCACTCCATTCTCCCTGCACCTAAAATGAAAACCATGCGTACCTTAATTCCTGGTGTCTTCCTCGGGGTCGAGCACTGTCTTGTTCATGTTCTCCAGCATCAGGTGGTCTTCACTGTTGGATAGAAAGGCCCCCTATGTTCTGATGTATAAGCATCGGTCTTTGAGGCATGATGAAGATGAAGTCAGGGGGTGTCACTGACTGCCTAGGAGGAGTGAGAGAGCATCGCTGGACCATGGAAATTGTGAGTAGTAGATTGTTTTTGTTTTTTTTGCTTTGGCTTTAAAAGCCAAGTGGTCAATTTTTTTTAAATTAAATAATTCCACTAAGAACCAGTTACATTGAGCCTGGTTAATAAAAACATCCCTAATGTGCACTGTATGACCAAATGTGGACACCTGACCATCATATCAACACTAAATGGCCAAAAAGTATGTGGGCCTTCTCCAAATAATGGAGTTCAGGTGTCTCTGGTGAAGGCTATCAAAAATACTCCATCATACATAGACAGGATTAGCGATTACCCTTTTCTGTTCCACCATGACTGTACCTGAGGACTGAGGCAGTCTACCTTTGTTTTGGACAACTGAGCTTTTCCAACCTTGTGGTAACGACTCTTTTCTGTTCCACCATGACTGTGCCCTTGTGTACAAAGCCAGCTCCATAAAGACATGGTTTGGTGTGGAGGAACTGGAGTCCGCAACCGCAGGTCCTCAAGTACCCCCAAGTCATGTTTTTAGTCAATAGCTTGGTATTTATGACTATCTAAAGGAAATTTTCAGAACATGGCCTACTGGGGATACCTGAAGACTGAGGCGGCCAACCTTTGTTTTGGACAACTGAGCTCTTCCAACCTTGTGGTAACAGTTTGGTGAAGACCCTTTTCTATTCCACCATGACTGTGCCCCTGTGAACAAAGCCAGCTCTATAAAGACATGGTTTGGTGTTGAGGAACTCGAGACACCAACCTCAGTCCTCAAGTACCCCCAAGTCATATTTTTAGTCAATAGCTCCATAAAGATATGGTTTGACCAGCTTGGTGTGGATTGGCCTGCACAGAGCCCTGACCTCAACCCTGCTGAACACCTTTGGGATGAATTAGAACGCCGATTGTAAGCCAGGTCTCTTTTTTTGGTGCCCAGCGTGAGACCAGGTCTTCTCATCCAACATCAGTAACTGACCTCACATATATTCTTTTGGCTGAATAGAGACAAGTTCCCAAAGCCACCTTCCAATATCTAGTCAAAAATTGTGCCATAAGTGTGGAGGTTGGGGTAGGAGAAAAGGGGGTCCAACTCCATATCAATGTCCATGGTTTTTGGAATTAGGTGTCCATCAGGCTCCTGGTCAGGTGTTCACCAATTTGTGGCCATACAGTGTGTGTTCACCTCCTTTAAAAGCCTCATCATCACTTCTTCCTCTTAAAAAGAAAAATGCAGTGCATGGATGAGTCTATTTTTTTTTTTTTTGGTTCAACTAGCAGGTTGAACGAAAAAAAAAAAAGGACTTGATTTCCCCAACAGGGGATACTTTCCTTGCCATTAGAATACAGTGATGGCACTGCCAGCTCTAGGCGATGGTGCTGATCGTGCAGAAATCTCCAACAGACTGGTTGTACAGAAGCTGATCGGTAGATAAACTTCTGTACAACAAGCTCCCCCAAACATGGATGGAAATGTGTCCGATCTTTGCAGAAACGGACGAATTTTGAATCATGTATGGCCGGTATACCACAGCCATCTCATGAAAACTTGGTGGAACTCTGCTCCAAACACCTGAGGCTGTTGCGGGCATAAATGTGCTCATCCAGGATGGCTCTATGAATCTGCAGTGGTTCAATGCTGTACACCAATCAGCTTCATGGTATAGGCAGTGAAAAGCAGCCTCAGCCCCAGTTCCTCCCAATAGGTACGCCTCTGACATGTTTCAGTCTCCCTCCATGACTAAGCCCCCGGTGGGCAGGACAAAACGCATCAGCGGCATGGCTTTTGGGAGGAGCTGGGGCTGAGGCCGCTCATCAGTTCCTATACCTTGGAACCGATATGTGTGCAGCAGTTTTTGCTTTCCTGAGTCCGCTGCAATGTGTGATTAGCTGTCGATCCTGCGCGGTGACGTCACCCCTACCTCACAGAAGCTTCCCTCCTCCTCCTCCATTATGCCAAGCACTTCTCTTTGTAGGATTTAACTAAATTTTTAATTTTTTTTTTTATTTGTGGCTTTTGCTGAATTATTTTTTTTTTTTTTTTTTGCTGCTTTAGCTGAATTATTTTTTTTTTTGCTTTAGCTAAATTGTTTTTTATTTTTTATTTTTTTTTGTGGCTTTTACTGAATTTTTTTTTTTTTCTCAGGAGTGGGGTGCATAAAGTAAAAAGCTCCCTCCTGGAAACTTGAACAACATGATACACTAAACTTTTTATTTGTTTTATAAAGGAAAAACATTTTTGAAAAATATGAAGCGATTAGGCTGTCATAAAAGACAAATCAAAAATGACTGGCAGAAAAAAACACAAAAAAAAAACGCCCAGATATTTATATACGGTATGTAAGAACTATTGTATGCCAGATATGTCCTCCACTGAGGGGAAACTAATTGTAACGCGTATCTAATTGACCCAAAATTGATTTGTTAATTTTTTATTATGTACATGCCCAGTGTTTGATATTTATATGAGAGAAATGTTATTTATTATTTTGAAAGTAAACTTTGACCATTTAAAGGTGGGGGGGGGGAATGTTAGTAATGATCGGGAGTATATTTTAAACCTTGTTATGTTTGCAAAATACCCAGAAATGTTTACCTTGCAAAGGTCCCATTGACATAGGTGCGATCTGGAATTGCTGTGATTACAAATTGTGTCAAGACCCGCAGTTGGGTGTCAATCATCCGAGTGGCACCTCAAACAGGGCGCAACAAAAGAAGCGTGTAAAATCGCGCCTTCCTCAGGGCCAAAAATTGGGTCCCTGAGCTTCTTTAGCGAGACAAACACCCATTCAAGCGAATGGGCTGCCCTACGTGCGAGACTGACCTGAACAAAATTGCAAGCAGGGATGCGTTTCGTGTTGCCAAATATGCCACTTGGTTCCAGGAGAGTGGTGCCCTAAAGTCTGTTTGGAATCGGCCATTTTTGGAAGTGTCTTTCTCTCGGGTCTTGCACCCCTCTCGACGATTCTATTGGGAGACCTCCATGTATTCATAAGGCATTCCAGGCAGGGGCATCCCTAGGGTTGGTGTCACCAAGTGTGGTAACATGTGGTGTCACCCCTTGCGGAGGTGGGCAGTTGTGCACACACAACCTGGCTCTTGCCCTCCCTGTGTCCCCGTCGCTCCCCCCGGACCAGTGTAGCAAGCCGATCCATTATGCTCCCCAATCCATCTTGCAGGGATCATCGGCCTGAAACCTATATGGGGTTAGCTGATCTTGCAACACCGGTCCATAGGGGTGCAACAGGGAGGGTAAGAGGCAGGCTGTGTGTGCACAACAGGGACTGTTACCGCAGATCCGATCCATCTTGCGGGGATCGTCGGCTTTACTTTTTGGTGTCACTGATTCCAGGTATGATATATTCCGGGTTACACTGGTCCAGCTTGGGCCGATGTAACTATGCCTATGCCATTAATGGCTGATGCTCCTGGAAGCTGAAAGCACTGAAGTAGACAATGTTACTACACCGCAACTCCAGTCCTGTGCTGATCAGCTGCACTGTGAACACAAGAGGTTGACTACTTGGCATGGGTGCCGTTCAGAGAATGCTTTACTTTTTCTGAATGAATGCAAAGCATTCTCTGATTGAATGGGGCGAATTGCTTAACCATTCACTTGTTCTATCCAAAATGAGAAAAAAGATATACTTGGTAGCGTAGGCAAATGTCAGCCTTCCAAGCACTTCTGGGACCACAAGTCCCAAAGGTCTCTGAGTCATAGCTCTGGCTCATGGGACTTGTAGTTCCACAACAGGTGGAGGGCCAAAGTTTTTGCCTTGCCTTAAAGCCTAGCTCCACATTTAATGTCATTTAGTTTGGGCCAAGCTGGCCCACATGAATTATTTACTGCACTAACAGGGGAGCTTGCTGCGTGCGCTGTATTAAGCCTCAACTAGATACAGTGCTGGGGTTCCACCAGTGAGATGGGCACTTCCCACCCCACTCCAGGAACAAAACAGAGCACCAGTGAGATGGGCACTTCCCACTCCAGGAACAAAACAGAGCACTACTTAGCACTACTTCACAGGAAGCTGTGTATTCTATGAATGAATGCAAAGCTTCCTGTGACTGGCTGCAATGAAAATCATGATGTCATCCGCTCGCACATTTAGTGTGGCAAATAGTTTAGGCCAGCTTGGCCAGTATAAACTAATCGAACTTCTAGTGTGGGCAAATAGTTTGGGTCAGTGCAAACTAATCGCACATCTAGTGTGGGTAGTTTAGTTTATACTGGCCAAGCTGGCCCAAACTATTTACCCACACTAGATGTACGATTAGTTTATACTGGCCAAGCTGGCCCAATCGCACTTGTAGTGTGGGCAAATAGTTTGGGCCAGGATGAACTAATCGCACTTGTAGTGTGGGTAAATAGTTTGGGCCAGCTTGGCCAGTATGAACTAATCGCACTTGTAGTGTGGGTAAATAGTTTGGGCCAGCATGAACTAATCGCACTTGTAGTGTGGGTAAATAGTTTGGGTCAGTGCAAACTAATCGCACATCTAGTGTGGGTAGTTTAGTTTATACTGGCCAAGCTGGCCCAATCGCACTTGTAGTGTGGGCAAATAGTTTGGGCCAGCATGTACTAATCGCACTTGTAGTGTGGGTAAATAGTTTGGGCCACCTTGGCCCAAACGAACTATAAAAAAGTGACTTAAAGTTCGGCTTTAAAGGATACAAAAGTCACATGCAGATCAGTAGAAAAAAAAAAAAATGGCTGATGTGCGGGACCCAAGATTACAGGGTGGGTGGGGGTGCAAAGTTTGTTTCCCAGCAGACTTCAGGGTACAATACCTCTGAAACCAAGCTGTGTGGCAAGCCTGTTGACGCTTCCTTTGCAGAGTATGCATTTTTGGAGATTTTTTACACACAGGGCCACTTTAGGAGGTAGCAAGAACGGAATCAGAAAGTGACAAGAATGGGTATTTTTATGTAAAAAAAACCCAGAAAGCTCAAGTATGTGTTTTCTAGAAGGCGGAGCAGGTTATTCAGACTAGTTTGTGATATACTTTTATCTGTCTCTGCACCTATGATGTATTACCTTTTTTTTTTTTTGCTTAAAATTTTACTAATGACTTATTCTATAGAATTTCATGGAGCTCAAAAATAAAAAGTATTCTAAAGTATTTTATATTAAGGAATATTTTTTTTTTTAAATAATGAAAAAGCCACATTTCCGATTTTATGGTGTAGTTAAAAAAAAAAAACTAATGTTCCTTCTGTAAAAATCCACTTTTGTTCAGATCAATAAAAAAGTAATTGTGTAACAGGATTCGTACTCGTCAATTAGACCCGAAATTAATCTGCTTGTATTTCCTTTGTTCTTCCTTCCCCTCAGCAAGAGGATCATGAAACTTAAAAAAAAAACCTTTCCATTTTCAATGATACACTTTACTTTAGACCCAATGATGTCATTACATGAGACTGCTATTACAGCCTCCCCCACCCCTTACAAAGGAATGCTGTTACATTGGAGGTCTGGGCCCTCTTGATACTTCGTTTGGCAACATAAAAGATCAAAACGAGAAAAAGGAAGGACAGCACCTAAAAAGATTTTTTAAAAAAATTAAAAAAAAATTAAAGAATAGAAAAAAAAAAAAATGAAGAGCTTGTGAATGAAGTAAACCAAACCAATAATTTAGAAGCCAGTCCTTTATTGGCTTGGGTAAGCATCTAAACACAGACCACCATCTTCAAAGTGCAACAGGGCCTTACAGTCTATATACATTTTTTTTTTTAAAGTCACATCTAAATCCGACCTCCATGTTTTTAGTAATGGTTACAGTTTGTTTGCATCAGAACTACTACATAGGCCCGAGTTGAACGGAGCGTTTCTCAGGAGCTTTGTAATTTCTGAATGCGTACAAAGCTTCCTCTAAATGTGTCCGAGATGGTGACCTCCTCCGACCGCCTCCCTCAGCCATCCGGAGGAAGCTTTGTATTCATTCATACAGTTACAATAGTTCCTGTGAATGGATGAGCGCCACTCTAGCCTGACTAGATTTGGTTCCAAACGAACTATTACCTGCTAGAGGTGCCCCTGCTGTATACAGCCACGGTGGGACGGGAAATTCCTGTACCAGAACAAAATTGAGTCAGGTTAAGCGGCGTTCACCCGTTCACAGGAAGCTTTGTATTCTATGAATGAATACAACGCTTCCTCCGATTGGCTGAAGCAGATGACATCACAGTCTCTGACGCGGAGGAAGCTTCGTATTCATTCAGAAAATACAAAGCTCCTTGGAAAGGGCCGGATGCTGCTCAGTTCAAGTGGATTTTGCTCCGGGGAAGGGGTTGAATGGCAAGTTCCCAAAATGATGCTAGAACACAGAGCTGTATATTGTGTTTAGCCAAGGATATATACAATTTATACAGCGGGCACCTCTAGTATTTATTTATTTCAGGTACTTATATAGCGCCATCAATTTACACAGCACTTTACATATATATTGTACATTCACATCAGTCCCTAACCCTCAAGGGGCGTACAATCTAAGGTCCTTAACTCACATTCATACATACACATACTAGGGACAATTTACACAGGAGATAATTTACCTACCAGCATGTCTTTAGAGTGTGGGAGGAAACCGGAGTACGCGGAGGAAACCCACGCAGGCACAGGGACAACATACAAACTCCAGGCAGGTGGTGCCGTGGTTGGGGTTCGAACAGATGACCCGAGTACTGTCAGATGGAAGTGCTAACCATTTAGCCACTGTGCTGCCTATAATAGTGAAGGTATAGTTAAAGGGGCAGCACAGTGGCTAAAGTTAAAGTCCATCTGACAGTACTCGGGTCGTTGGTTCAAATCCCAACCATGGCACCACCTGCCTGGAGTTTTCATGTTCTGCATGTGCCTGCGTGGGTTTCCTCCCACACTCCAAAGACATGCTGGTCTAAATTGGCCCCAGTATGTGTATGTATGAATGTGAGTTAGGGACCTTAGATTGTACACTCCTTGAGGGGTTGGGGACTGATGTGATTGTACAATATCTATATGTAAAGGGCTACGTAAATTGATGGCATTATATAAGTACCTGAAATAAATACTAAACCCCGAACCCTGTGTTCACTAGATCCGCTCTCCCCGGACCACGCGTTCACTAGATCCGCTCTCCCCGGACCCCGCGTTCACTAGATCCGCTCTCCCCCGGACCCTGCATTCACTATATCCGCTCTCCCCCGGACCCCGCATTCACTATATCCGCTCTGCCCCGGACCCCGCATTCACTATATCCGCTCTCCCCCGGACCCCGCATTCACTATATCCGCTCTCCCCGGACCCCGCATTCACTATATCCGCTCTCCCCCGGACCCTGCATTCACTATATCTGGTCTCCCACAGTACACACAACATGGAAATGCAATTATTTTAGTAAATATAAAATGCTAAATACCTTTTCTCATCAGCAGTATAGAGCAGTCTTGTGACTTGTATCAGTGTCCAGCAGACCACATGTTAAAGCTTGTAGGAGGAATTTTCATTCCCCCCTTGATTGTCTCATGAGGCTGAATTATTCCTGACCCTCTGTCTGGACAGTGCTGATTGACCATGCGGCAATCACATGCCCCCTCCCAAGAAAAAGAAAAGACTCTCTAGCAATACACACCAAACTGAGCATGTGCAGCTTGCCCCCAAGGCTCTGTTCTATCGTTAGATAAATTGGACACGGTGGAAGGGGAGGATCAGAGAAGACAGAATTAACCACTTAGGTTCCGCAGTGAGTATACCAGGCTGATTTTACTGTTTTGGGTTTAATTTGGACCAGCGTGGTCCCAACTCTTTAACCTTCACTAAAACATGGAGATCGGTTTTAATTAAAAACAGACATTACCTTTTTCTCCAACTTTTACTCAAAACCGATAAAATCAGAAATTTTGTGTATTTCATCAACACGAAATCTCCTAGCTTCTTACAGTCCACAAATCTGTGCTTGCAGTCTTTGTAGAGGTTTAGATACGGGTGTAATGCAGTCCAGCACCCAATACTCATTACCAGCACCCAGTGGTCCACAGAACGAGTCCAGCGTACATAAGTTCCACGTGGCTGCATAGAGGGCACTGCAGACAAGTACACTTTGTATGGTCACTTCTCTATTAGGGCTTCAAGTTGCTCCTCCAGAGATGTCACCTAAAAGGGAACAAGAAAAATATTTAGTTTGCGTTTTTTCTGCATCGAAGTCTAACTCTCCCCATCACTTGCCAGCATCTTCTGCTGGGTGCCGGTCTCCATTGGCCAGCACAGGGTGATGTCATTCTGGCACACGGGCTGCTCCAGGTCGGCTCACTTTTCACGCCCCAGAAGACAGTCAGCAGGTGAGGTAGGTGTCTTATTGAAATAGAGGCATTGCACATCTCTTTTGCAGTAAAGAGTCTGCCTGCTTGCAGTTAGTATCTCCATTACTAAGAAATGCAACAGCTGACAGTGTATCAGCTACATACATTATACAGCGCTGTGTTCCAACAGTGGTACAGGGACTTCCCACTCTCGGGGAAAAGAAAGAAGGAAAAGAAAAAGAAAGAAAAAGAGAGAGAGGAAAAGAAAAAGGAAAGAAAGAGGGAAGAGAAAAAAAGGAAAGAAAAAGGAGGAAAAGAAAGAGAAAAAAAAGAAGAGGGAAGAGAAAAAAAAGAGGGAAGAGAAAAAAAAAAAAAGAGGGAAGAGAAAAAAAAGAAAGAGGAAAGAGAAAAAAAAAGAAAGAAAAAAAAAAAAGAGAGGAAAGAGAGAGGAAAAGAAAGAGAGAAAGAGGAAAAGAAAAAGAAAGAAAGAGAGAGAAAGAGGAAAGAAAGAAGAAAGAAAGAGAGAGAAAGAGGAAAAGAAAAAGAAACAAAGAGAGAGAAAGAGGAAAAGAAAAGAAAGAGAGAGAAAGAGGAAAAGAAAGAAAGAGAGAGAAAGAGGAAAAGAAAGAAAGAGAGAGAAAGAGGAAAAGAAAGAAAGAGAGAGAAAGAGGAAAAGAAAGAAAGAGAGAGAAAGAGGAAAAGAAAGAAAGAGAGAGAAAGAGGAAAAGAAAGAAAGAGGAAAAGAAAGAGGAAAAGAAGAAAGAGGAAAAGAAAGAAAGGAAAAGGAAGGAAAGAAAGGAAGGAAAGAAAAAGGAAGGAAAGAAAAAGGAAGGAAAGAAAGTAAGGAAAGAAAAGAAGGAAAGAAAAAGGAAGGAAAGAAAGGAAGGAAAGAAAAAGGAAGGAAAGAAAGGAAAGAAAAAGGAAGGAAAGAAAAGAAAGAGGAAAAGAATGAAAGGAAGGAAGGGAAGGAAAGAAGAAAAGAAAGGAAGGAAGGGAAGGGAAGGAAAAGAAAAAAGAAAAGAAGGAAGGAAGGAAGGAAAGAAGAAAAGAAAGGAAGGAAGGGAAGGAAAGAAGAAAAGAAAGGAAGGAAGGGAAGGAAAAGAAAAGGAAAGGAAAGGAAAGGAAAGAAAGGAAAAGAGAAAGAAAGGAAAAGGGAAAGAAAGGAAAAGGAAAAGAAAAAGGAAAAGAGAAAGAAAGGAAAAGGAAAAGAAAAAGGAAAAGAGAAAGAAAGGAAAAGGAAAAGAGAAAGAAAGGAAAAGAAAAAGGAAAAGAGAAAGAAAGGAAAAGAAAAAGGAAAAGAGAAAGAAAGGAAAAGGAAAAGAAAAAGAAAAAGAAAAAGAAAAAGAAAAAAGGAAAGAAAGAAAAAGGAAAAGAGAAAGAAAGAAAAAGGAAAAGAAAGAAAAAAAAGAAAAAGGAAAAGAGGAAGAAAAAAAAAGAAAAAGAAAAAGAAAGAAAGAAAAGGAAAGAAAGAAAAAAAGGAAAGAAAGAAAGAAAAAGGAAAGAAAGAAAGAAAAAGGAAAGAAAGAAAGAAGGAAAAGAAAGAGAAAGGAGGAAGAGAAAGGAGGAAGAGAAAGGAGGAAGAGAAAGGAGAAGAGAAGGAGGAAGAGAAAGGAGGAAGAGAAGGAGAAGGAGGAAGAGAAGGAGGAAAAGAAAGGAGGAAGAGAAGGAGGAAGAGAAGGAGGAAGAAAAAGAAGAGAAGAAAAAGAAGAGAAGAAAGAGAAAAAGAAAGAAAGAAAAAGAAGAGAGAAAGAAAGAAAGAAAGAAAAGAAAGAGGAAAAGAAAGAAAAAAGGAAAAGAAAGAAAAGGAAAGAGAGGAAAAAAAGAGAAAAGGAAAAGAAAGAGAAAGAGGAAAAAAAGAGAAAGAGGAAAAGAAAGAGAAAAAGGTTAAAAAGAGAGGAAAAGAAAGAGAAAGAGGAAATGAAAGAGAAAGAGGAAAAGAGAAAGAGAAAGAGGAAATGGGTGTAAGAGAAAGGAAGGAAGGAAGGTTTTTGGAACAGAAAAGAAAAGAAAAGAAGGAAGTTTGTTTGTGGAGTTTATGAAGGAAAAGAAGAAAAGAAAGGAAGTTTTGTTTGAAGGAAAGAAGAAAAGAAAGGAAGGAATTGGAAGGAAAAAGAAAAGGAAAGGAAGGAAGGGAAGGGAAAAGAAAAGGAAAGAAAAAGGAAAGAAAGGAAAAGAGAAGAGAAAGGAAAAGGAAAGAAAAGTTTTGGTTTTTTTTGTTTGTTTTGGTTTTTATTTTTGTTTGAAAAGGAAAAAGAAAGGAAAAGGAAAAAGGAAAAGAGAAAGAAAGGAAAAGGAAAAGAAAAGGAAAAGAGAAAGAAAGGAAAAGGAAAAGGAAAAAAGGAAAAGAGAAAGAAAGGAAAAGGAAAAGAAAAAGGAAAAGAGAAAGAAAGGAAAAGGAAAAGTTTTGGAAAAGAGAAAGAAAGGAAAAGGAAAAGAAAAAGGAAAAGAGAAAGAAAGGAAAAGGAAAAGAAAAAGTTTGAAAAGAGAAATGAAAGGTTAAAAGGAAAAAGAAAAAGGAAAAGAGAAAGAAAGGAAAAGGAAAAGAAAAAGGTTTTGTTTTGGGAAAGAAAGGAAAAGGAAAAGAAAAGGAAAAGTAGAAAGAAAGGAAAAGAAAAAGGTTTTTTTGAAAGGAAAAGAAAAGGAAAAGAGAAGAAAAGGAAAAGGTTTTGAAATTTTTTTTTTGAATGGAAAGGAAAAGAGAAAGAAAGGAAAGGAAAAGGAAAAGGTTTTGTTTTGTTTTTTGGTTTTGAAAAGAGAAAGAGAAGAAAGTAAAAGGAAAAGAGAAAGAAAGGAAGAAGTGAAAAGGAAAAGAAAGGAAAAGAGAAAGAAAGGAAAAGAGAAAGAAAGAGAAAAGAAAGAAAGGAAAAGAAAAAGAAAGGAAAAGAAAAAGAAAGGAAAAGAAAAAGAAAGAAAAGAAAAAGAAAGGAAAAGAAAAAGGAAAAGAAAGGAAAAGAAAAAGGAAAGAAAGGAAAAGAAAAAGGTTGTTTTTGATTGTGAAAAGGTTTGGAAGAAAAAAGGAAAGAAAGAAAGAAAAAGGTTTGAAAGAATGTATAAAAAGAAAGTTATGAATAAGAAAGAAAAGGAAAGAGTTTGTGGAAGAGAAAAGAGGAAGAGAAAGGAGGAAGAGGAAGAGTTTAAGTTTGAAAGTTTGTTTTTTTTTTGAGAAAGGAGGAAGAGGAAGTTTGTTTGTTTTGAAGAGAAAGGAGGTTTGAAGGTGGTCCTTGTTTGGAGGTAGTGATGGAGGAAAGAAAGGAGGAAGAGATGGAGGAAAAGGTTATTGTTTGTTTTTTTTTGTTTTTTGTTTTTTGATGAAAAAGTTTGGTGAATTTGTTTTTTTTTGAAAAAGAAAGTTTGTTTGTTTTGTTGGTTTTGAAAGAGTTTTTTGTTTTGAAATGAAGAACTATTTTGATTGTGTTGGTTTTTAAAGTGTGTTTGGAAATTGTTTTGAGTTTTTAAGAAAGAGAAAAAGGAAAAGAAAGTTTTTTTTGATTTTTGGTTTGTGTTTTGATTTGTGAAGAGAAAGAGGGGAAAAGAAAGTGAAAGTGAAAAGTTTTGTTTTGAAAGAGGAAAAGAAAGATTTTTTTTGGAAAAGAAAGAGAAAGAGGAAAAAAGAAAGAGAAAGAGGAAAAGAAAGAGGAAAAGAAAGAGAACATCACACTCTCTACCTTAGCCAATCGAAGAAAGCCTTGTATTCATTAAGAAAATACAAGGCTTCCTTTGAAAAGCTGAGCAGCACTCTTTTTTTTTTTTTTTTTTTTTAATGAGGGGGACGGGAAGTCCCTGTTCCGGTGCCGGAACACAGCACTGTAGACTGTATGTAGCTGATGCTCCATACAGTCCATGCAGCACAGACAGCGGCTGCATTCCTTAGTATTGGAAATAGCTCATTTGGGCCAGCTTTGGACTAAACTAAAGTAACACAAAACCCAGAGTTCAACTATAAAGCTGTTTTTTTCTGTTCGTATTCCGCCCCATCAACACGCTATTGGAGTTTTTAAAATAAAAATTTTCATTACATACAAGGCGGGATTTCGGGCTTTAGAGCAAACCCGCGCTCCTGCACACAATTCTTATCACACTACAGGGGATGGAAAACAAAAATGGAAACGCGACATGATTTGCATGTGTGAAAGTGACAACATGTTTCGCGGTGAAAGCAGAACGGATGTGACATTCTTTTGCTTCTGCTGTGTGATGAGACACCTAGCTAACAGGTGGGAAGCCTAACTTTCCTCATTCGTTGCGTGCGCTGCTAATAAAATATAGATATATTTTATTAGCAGCGCACACAGAATGAGGAAAGTATATATATTTTATATATCAAAAATATATGGACACACAACGTGATTTGCAGGTGTGAAAGTGCCGACGTTTCGCATTTTATACAGGAGTACTGAATTTTATTTTATGTATTATAAATGCACCAATACCGATACTCATGAATATGTTCCCGCTACCGGAAACCGATACTTTGCGGTGCCATTTGCATCCCCTCCCATGGCGGAGATTTCCCTTCACTTCCTGTCCCATAGCCAAAACAGGAGGCGAAAGGAAATCCCTCCAAATGAAGGGAATTCCTTGGGGACCCCCCAGGTCACCAGATCTACTGTCCCCCATTGGAGGATTTCCCCTCTATTACTTTTGTGGTGACGACTCAAAATTTGTGATCTTTTACTTTCAATGTTAAACAGGACAAATAAGAGAGGGGGAATCTCCTTAATGGGAGGCACAGGCAGCAATAAAAAAAAAACCTGACAAAGGATCTAATTCCACTCTATCCAAAATTGAAAAAAAAAATATTTTGCCTTTAGTTATACTTTAAAATAACTTAAAATAAATAAACTTTTCTTTTTTTTAGTTTTGGATGGAGTGGAGAGGGATTAGAATGCTTGACACGTTTTATTGCTGTCTGTGCTCCCATTAACGTGATACTAATGGCTTACACGTTAAAAAAAAAAAAAAAAAAAAAAAAAGGACTAAAAAAAACCCCAAAAAGACAAAACAATAAAAAGACAAAACAATATATTTTGTAACACAAAAGCATTTCAACATGCAAAATATATATATACACATACATACATATACACACATTCATATATATATATATATATATATATATATATATATATATATTACACATACATACACACACATATAAACATGCACACATACAATATATATATATATATATATATATATATATACATATATATATATATATACATATACATACATACATACACATACATACACACACACACACTGTATATACATTTATTTATTGAAATATATTGAGTACGGCCAAAATTGTAGCATTTCAAATATATGGCAATATATGTGGGAAGAATATTTTTAAAATATATTTCAAACATATTATTCTGAGGACAGTGAGAGAGGAGAGAAGCACACAGAGCAAGCACGCCGCCTGCCCCTCCCCTGCCCATTCACAGAAGCCTTTGTATTTTGTGAATTAGTTCACGTAATACAAAGGCTTCTGTGATGGGGCAAGAAGAGGGGAAGTAAGGGCATAGTAGCTGTACTCACTTGAAGGAACGGAGAGCAAAGCGTCAAACCTTGGACCTCTGGAAGCTATCTTGCTGGAGGAGAAGAACAAACCTCTCAGATCTCAAATTAAAGAGATAAGTCCACGGGAGTACAGGCACCTCATTGGACTTTGCTCATAGTGGGCCTGCATTTTTACAAAGTTGCTGAATTCCTGGAGTTCCTAAGTATGAATGGGGCCTTATAGCTACAGAGATTTCAGGAGCTCGGGAACGCACGCATTGCCAATAGTTTAGCACCACCAAAGCAAATGTGAAAATGACCCAATGAGCAAACACCGATCGCTGTTCTAAGCTCATGAAAAGTCACGCCCGGTTGGTTACTAGGTGCCGCTGTACCATACAGATCCTCTCACCTGTTGCTTCTCCCGTTCCTCCTGCTGTCTGAATTCATCCAGCACAGCTTGTAGACGTGTCTGAGAAAGAAAGAGAACAAATCAGCAAGACTTACATCACTCTGTGTTCTGATGGAAATCTGCGATGACAACGACCTGGAAAATCGCAGGGAGACAATGCGTTTACCTTAAGAGCCACATTTTCCACCTTCATTATAAGCTCTTCTTGGCGTTTCCTCCTCTCCTGAGTTTCTCGCAATTTCTTTTGCAGGTTTTCAACTTGTTTCTGCAATTCTAGCACTTGGAGGAGAAAAAAAAAAAAATGAATATTAATAAATTAACCTCACCCGCGCCGCCCTATAGCAGAAATACTGCTACAGGGCAGCACAGGTGCGCAATATATAATATAAAATATAAATATACACCCTGTTCCAAATTATTATGAAAATTCTATTTAAGTGTCGCAAAGATGAAATATTTTGTTTTTCAGTGTAACTCATGGTTGGCATTGTGTGTCAGGGCTCTTTTGATCGCTGAAAACAATCTGGGACACCTGTGATAATTAGATTGGCCGGTGAGCCCAATTGAAGGAAAAACTACTAAAGGAGGGTGTTCCACATTATTAAGCAGAGCACCATTTTCAAGCAATATGGGGAAGAAAAAGGATCTCTCTGCTGCGGAAAAGAGTGAAATAGTTCGATGCCTTGGACGAGGTATGAAAACATTCGATATTTCACGAAAACTTAAGCGTGATCATCGCACTATGAAGAGATTTGTGGCTGATTCAGAGCACAGACGGGTTCATGCAGATAAAGGCACATTGAGGAAGATTTCTGCCAGATCCATGCATCGGATCAAGAGAGCAGCTGCTAAAATACCATTACATAGCAGCATATATTTGAAGCTGCTGGTGCCTCTGCAGTCCCACGGACATCAAGGTGTAGAGTACTCCAGAGTCCTGCAACTGTGCATAAACCTTCTATTGGCCACCACTAACCAATGCTCACCAGCAGAAACGGCTGCATTGGGCAGAAAAATACATGAAGACTCATTTTCAAACAGTCCTGTTCACTGATGAGTGCCGTGCAACCCTGGATGGTCCAGATGGATAGAGTAGTGGATGGTTGGTGGACGGCCACCCTGTTCCAACAAGGCTGCGACGTCAGCAAGGCGGTGGTGGAGTCATGTTTTGGGCCGGAATCATGGGAACAGAGCTGGTCGGCCCCTTTAGGGTCCCCAAAGGTGTAAAGATGATTTCTGCAAAGTATGTGGAGTTTATGACTGACCACTTTCTTCCCTGATACAGAAGGAAGAACTATGCTTTCCGTAATAAAATCATCTTCATGCATGACAATGCACCATCTCATGCTGCAAAGAATATCTCTGCATCAATGGCTGCTATGGGGATAAAAGGAGAGAAAGTCATGGTGTGGCCTCCATCCTACCCTGACCTCAATCCTATTGAGAACCTTTGGAGCATCCTCAAGCAAAAGACCTATAAGGGTGGGAGGCAGTTTACATCCAAACAGCAGCTCTGGGAAGCTATTCTGACATCTTGCAAACAAATTCAAGCAGAAACTGTCCAAAAAACTCCCAAGTTCAATGGATGCAAGACTTGTGATCTGCTATCAAATAAGGGGTCCTATGTTACAATGTAACGTGACCGCTTCAAATGTTTACAAAGTTAAAATGTTGTTAAAAGTTTGATTGAAATAGCTTTTGATTTCAGTAAATCTGCTGCAAACACAACAAATGACAATTTTCAGTTCTTTACAACCTATAAAGTGTTTTGAAACTTACTGTGCGGAATAATTTGGAACAAAAATCCTGTTATCATTAGGAGGTTTGTTCAATAAAATGTGAATTGTACTCTTATAGTTGTAACCTGAGAATTATGCCGACTGTTATTTACATCAATTATTTAGGTAAATGAGAAAAATATCATTTGCATAATATTTTGAAACACGGTGTATATAATTTTTACGGTAACGTGACTTTGCATTTCCAGGTAGGTGGCGTGCGCATGCCATTCGCGGTCAATCACGGGTCCCGCCCGGTGATTCTCCACCGGCACCCACTGAGTATTACCGACAGGGGAGAGACCTGTGTATAAACAACACAGATCTCTCACCTGTCAGCTCCTGCACACTGCTTTGTATGGCTTGTTTTTTGTTGGGTAAACTTGGACTTGGCTATACCAGGCTGTCCCCACTTTATTTCTTCCAAGGCAAGCACAGGATGGGTTTAAAATTCCTATCATTTGAACATGCTGCTGCCTGACACGAGCCGTACCAAAGAATTCTCCAATAGGGTGTTGCTCACCTATCTGGTTGGTGCCTCCTTCCTGGCCGTCCTGACCTTTTCTTTGGTCTTCATCGGCTTCCATGATGTTCAGGTCTTCCTCTTCTTGCCTCTCTCCCTCCTCCTCCTCGCCATCGCTGCTGCTGCTCAGGTCGTTGAAAATCTCACGCAATTCATCCCTTCCCACTGACGGGAAACATGGAAGACATCGATAAACACCACCAGATAAAAAGAACTAACAAAGTCAAGACTGTCCACCAACTGGCAGAAACAGTCAACTGAAAATCTGTGCGATTTAAAATGCATGCAAAAGCAAAAAAAAAAAAAAACCCCCCCCCCCCCAAATTTTGGGCTGAATATGGAATTGTTAAAGACACACTTTTTTTTTTTTTTTTTTGCCATATGTCCCAATGGGGGATACATTTGTTCCCTTCGAATTATGTAAACGTCAGGGTAATTCATAGACGGACTTTAGAATTCCGTCGTCCCTCAGTGAGGTCGGCAGATTCCTGCAGCTGCTGCAAACCGGTACTTGAATTTGGACACTGTCCTCAGTGCAGCTGAGGTCCCGCTTCCCCACTGCAGTGGTCACACAGACACTGCCGCGGTCACACAGACACTGCCGCGGGTCACACAGACACTGCCGCGGGTCACACAGACACTGCCGCGGGTCACACAGACACTGCCGCGGGTCACACAGACACTGCCGCGGGTAACACAGACACTGCCGCGGGTAACACAGACACTGCCGCGGGTAACACAGACACTGCCGCGGGTAACACAGACACTGCCGCGGGGTAACACAGACACTGCCGCGGTCACACAGACACTGCCGCGGGTAACACAGACACTGCCGCGGTCACACAGACACTGTCACGGTCACAGACACTGCCGCGGTCACACACAGACACTGCCGCGGTCACACAGACACTGCCGCGGGTCACACAGACACTGCCGCGGGTAACACAGACACTGCCGCGGGTAACACAGACACTGCCGCGGTCACACAGACACTGCCGCGGGTCACACAGACACTGCCGCGGGTAACACAGACACTGCCGCGGGGTAACACAGACACTGCCGCGGGTAACACAGACACTGCCGCGGTCACACAGACACTGCCGCGGTCACACAGACACTCCTGCGGTCACACAGACACTCCTGCGGTCACACAGACACTGCCGCGGGTAACACAGACACTGCCGCGGGTAACACAGACACTGCCGCGGGTAACACAGACACTGCCGCGGGTAAACACAGACACTGCCGCGGGTCACACAGACACTCCTGCGGTCACACACACACTGCCGCGGGTAACACAGACACTGCCGCGGGTAACACAGACACTGCAGTGGGTAACACAGACACTGCAGCGACTTGGGAGTTTTGTATCTAGATGGGCGAAGCCTCGTGGAGATTCAAAGACACTAGTTCCCCATCCCCATCAGCTCCCCCTGTGACTGACAAGTAGCGGGCAGGTTCCAAAATCGATAGCCTGCTACTGGCTAAATAATCTACCCACTGCCTGCTGTCAGTCACAAAAGTAGCGGGTCCTACCCCACATGGAAGAAAAATATATTTGAAATATATTTTAAAAATATTCTGCCCAAATATTTTGACATGCTACAATTTTGGCCATACTCAATATATTTCAAAATATATAAAAAACATTTTTTTTTTAAATTATATATATATATATATATATATATATATATATATATATATATATATATATATATATATATATATATATATATATATATATATATATATACACACACACATATACACACACACTGTATGTTGAAATGTGTTTTTATTACAAAATATATATAAAAAATAAAAAAAAAAATACATTTCAAATATACTGTATGTATACAAATCTACATTTTTGGAATGCATTTCCAAATATATGTAAAAATATATGTTAAAATGACTTTTTTATATGTTAAAAAAAATCTGAAGAATATATTTTTAAAAAATATATTTTTTAACAACGTCCTTAACAACTGATGAGTCATAAGCTGTCAGTGGGTTCCCTGTTCACAGCTGAATGTAAATAAATAATTGCCGGCAATTTTTTTTTTTTTTTTTTTTGCCCCCCCCCAAAAAAAAAAAAAATGGTACTTAATAAGCTTGATGAAAGCTCTGCAAAAGCTTGGCAACAGCTTGCTTAAAGAAACAATAATAATGACAAAATAAACAAAAATAAATATATGCATACATACATGTATACACACACTCACTATAAATATAATTTTTTTTTTCTGCAAACGTGCCTTTTTTCTACACAAATAAAGTTTCATATATATATTCATATATAATATAATATATATATATATATAAAATTTATTTATATATTGTTATATATTTTGCTTATATAAAAGACAAGTTTGCAGAAAAAAAAAAACCCCACATATACCATATATATATATACACACACACACATATATACACACACATAATTTTTTTTTATTATTTATTTATTTTTTCTACACAAGTAAAGTTATGTATATACACAGTCAGGTCCATAAATATTGGGATATGGACATAATTCTAAAATTTTTGGCTCTATACACCACCACAATGGATTTGAAATGAAACGAACAAGATGTGCTTTAACTGCAGACTGTCAGCTTTAATTTGAGGGTATTTACATCCAAATCAGGAGAACGGTGTAGGAATTACAACAGTTTGCATATGTGCCTCCCACTTGTTAAGGGACCAAAAGTAATGGGACAGAATAATAATCATAAATCAAACTTTCACTTTTTAATACTTGGTTGCAAATCCTTTGCAGTCAATTACAGCCTGAAGTCTGGAACGCATAGACATCACCAGACGCTGGTGTCATCCCTGATGATGCTCTGCCAGGCCTCTACTGCAACTGTCTTCAGTTCCTGCTTGTTCTTGGGGCATTTTCCCTTCAGTTTTTGTCTTCAGCAAGTGAAATGCTCAATCGGATTCAGGTCAGGTGATTGACTTGGCCATTGCATAACATTCCACTTCTTTCCCTTAAAAAAACTCTTTGGTTGCTTTTGCAGTCTGCTTTGGGTCATTGTCCATCTGCACTGTGAAGCGTCCAATGAGTTCTGAAGCATTTGGCTGAATATGAGCCGATAATATTGCCCGAAACACTTCACAATTCATCCGGCTGCTTTTGTCAGCAGTCACATCATCAATAAATACAAGAGAACCAGTTCCATTGGCAGCCATACATGCCCACGCCATGACACAACCACCACCATGCTTCACTGATGAGGTGGTATGCTTAGGATCATGAGCAGTTCCTTTCCTTCTCCATACTCTTCTCTTCCCATCACTCTGGTACAAGTTGATGTCGGTCTCATCTGTCCATAGGATGTTGTTCCAGAACTGTGAAGGCTTTTTTTACATGTCGTTTGGCAAACTCTAATCTGGCCTTCCTGTTTTTGAGGCTCACCAATGGTTTACATCTTGTGGTGAACCCTCTGTATTCACTCTGGTGAAGTCTTCTCTTGATTGTTGACTTTGACACACATACACCTACCTCCTGGAGAGTGTTCTTGATCTGGCCAACTGTTGTGAAGGGTGTTTTCTTCACCAGGGAAAGAATTCTTCGGTCATCCACCACAGTTGTTTTCCGTGGTCTTCCGGGTCTTTTGGTGTTGCTGAGCTCACCGCTGCGTTCCTTCTTTTTAAGGATGTTCCAAACAGTTGTTTTGGCCACGCCTAATGTTTTTGCTATCTCTCTGATGGGTTTGTTTTGTTTTTTCAGCCTAATGATGGCTTCACTGATAGTGACAGCTCTTTGGATCTCATCTTGAGAGTTGACAGCAACAGATTCCAAATGCAAATAGCACACTTGAAATGAACTCTGGACCTTTTAATTGCTCATTGTAATTGGGATAATGAGGGAATAACACACACCTGGCCATAGAACAGCTGAGAAGCCAATTGTCCCATTACTTTTGGTCCCTTAACAAGTGGGAGGCACATATGCAAACTGTTGTCATTCCTACACCGTTCACCTGATTTGGATGTAAATACCCTCAAATTAAAGCTGACAGTCTGCAGTTAAAGCACATCTTGTTCGTTTCATTTCAAATCCATTGTGGTGGTGTATAGAGCCAAAAATGTTAGAATTGTGTCGATGTCCCAATATTTATGGACCTGACTGTACATTTTTTTTTTTTTTAAATCTGGAAAAGAATAAAATATAAATTATTCATAAAATATGCATTACTTGAAGACCTACGCCCTTGTTTTATTCCGGATGATACCGGAGAGCTGTCCAACCCGGTCAGATTTTCACCTTCTTTGGATTCATCTTCGGCAATCACCTCCCATCCTGAATTCTTTGGTTAGGGAAAAGGGTTTCCTTCTTTATTAGAATAAATTTGTTACAGATCTGAATCGATTTTAAAAAAAAAAACTTTAGAAATATACATTCTGGGAAAGTCCAGCTCGATATACTTGGACAAAATCTTGGTTTTTTTTTTTATTATACCTTGAAATGGGAAAAAAATGGATTTCCATCTACAAATGGAGCCAAATATGTCATTCTTAGCCTTAGGGCTCGTATCGCTGAAGGGTGGTAAAATCCCGCATTTTTTTTTACTGCCCCCCCCAGAGGCCAGAGGTGTACACATGCTGCTTCCTTGAATCTGACCTGGTATCTGCCTCTGGCAACCTGGGGTACAGCAGAGATCAGGACTAGGAGAGGGAGAAGAAGCACAAAGGAGCCAATTAGGTGTGCTGCAATGCAAGAAGAATGCTGATAGAAGGAGAGAGCATAGTGACAGAGGGAAAAGCTCCTATGTCTGCCGCTGCTTTTGTCGGATCCCAGCTTTCCCTTCAGCCTTGTGCAGGTGTACCGGCCCCTCTCCTGCCTGAAAGGTTTTCCTCTGATTTCACTGCACACTGGGAGCTTCTCACAATGTTCATTAGAAGTTGCAGCAAGTCATTTCCAGGCTGGAGGATGTCCAGCATCATCTAGCACTTTCCTCCCGAGCCTGACTGTCCTTGGTCCCGCCGCATTCATTAGAACCCGCCTCATTTCCTGGCTGGAGGACGTCCAGCATCATCTAGCACTTTTCTCCGAGCCGGACTGTCCTTGGCCCGACCCCTTTCATTCATTAGAGCCAGCCTAACTTCCTGGCTAGAGGACGTCCAGCATCATCTAGCACTTTTCTCCCCAGACTGACTGTCCTTGGTCCCGCCGCATTCATTAGAACCCGCCTCATTTCCTGGCTGGAGGACGTCCAGCATCATCTAGCACTTTTCTCCGAGCCGGACTGTCCTTGGCCCGACCCCTTTCATTCATTAGAGCCAGCCTAACTTCCTGGCTAGAGGACGTCCAGCATCATCTAGCACTTTTCTCCCCAGACTGACTGTCCTTTGCCCTGCCCCTTTCATTAGAGCCGGCCTCATTTCCTGGCTGGACAACGTCCGGAATCATCTAGCACTTTCCTCCCCAGACTGACCGTCTCTGGCTCTGCCCCTTTCGTTCATTGGATTTCAACTCAGTCAATCATGAAGGCTCAGCATCACATGTGGGCGTTACCATACAAACACAGCATGCCCAGAAACGCCCACTCCTCCACCCATCAAGGCATTTTAATATTTGCATAACCCCTCCCAAGGGTCAGCCCGCTGCTTGCATCAGGACCGAGGGCTCGAGAGGTGTACTGAGGCAGGGTGCTGAGGTGTTCTCAGGAAACAATGTGCAGCATCTTGCTGGCCCCTCCCACCAGCCATGATCTGCCTGCATTTCATACAGAAGCACAGAAACCCAGTTATGATGTCTTAAATAGGGTGGAAAATAAAAATATTTTATCTAATAACTGCATTAGCTTGTCTATGGGGAGGACTAGAGAAGGCAAAATAAACACAAATTATATTCAGTTTGAAGGATACGGACACTAACAGCTTCTGCATCTGTGCTCAGAAGGCGCTTCACTTCTTTCTCCACATCCGGGGATTCGATGTACTGGAGTAAAAAATAAAAGTAGCCAGGAAGAATTACTGCGTATGTCACAAATGTACCCTATGGGGGAGATCTACTAAAGATGAAGTGTGCAAAATCTGCTGCAGCCAATCAGCTTGCAGGTTTTATTGTCAAAAGCCACATGGAAGAAAAATATATTTGAAACGCTACAATTTTGCCCATATTCATATATATTTCAATAAATATATATACACACTCTGTATGTTGAAATGCGTTTTTATTACAAAATAGATTAAAAATATTTTTCAAATATACTGTATATCTGAAGAGTATATTTTAAAAAAAAAAAATATTTTTAAAAATATGTATTTTTTAAATATATTCTTTAAATTTTTTTTTAACATATAAAAAAGAAATTTTAACTTAGATTTTTTTTTTATATGTATTTGTAAATGCATTCCAAAAATGTAGATTTGCATTTTCAAAGACATACAGTATATTTGAAACGTATTTTAAAAAATATTTTTCATATATTTTGAATTGAAAACAAATTTCACCAGTGCTGCCTCGACAGTGCCTTCTCATCAATGCCCACCAGTGCTGCCTCATCAGTGCCCATCAATGCCGCATATCAGTGCCGCCTATCAGGGCAGCCTCATCAGTGCCCATAAATGCCGCCTATCAGGCAGCCTTATAACTGCCTTCTCATTAATGCCCACCAGTGCTGCCTCATCAGTGCCACATATCAGTGCAGCCTTATCAGTGCCCATAAATGCCGCCTATCAGTGCAGCCTCATCAATGCCCACCAGTGCTGCCTCATCAGTGCCCATCAATGCCGCATATCAGTGCAGGCTTATCAGTGCCCATCAATGCCGCCTATCAGTGCAGCTTCATCAGTGCCTTCTCATCAATGCCCACCAGTGCTCCCTCATCAGTGCCCATCAATGCCGCCTATCAGTGTCCATCAGTGTGCCGCATATTAGGCAGCCTCATCAGTGCCCATAAATGCCGCCTATCAGTGCTGCATATCAGTGCAGCCTTATCAGTGCCTTCTCATCAATGCCCACCAGTGCTGCCTCATCAGTGCCGCATATCAGTGCAGCCTCATCAGTGCCCATAAATGCCGCCTATCAGTGCCCATCAGTGCCCCATATCAGTGCAGCCTCATCACTGCCTTCTCATCAATGCCCACCAGTGCTGCCTCATCAGTGCCCATCAATGCCGCCTATCAGTGCCCATCAGTGTACACATATCAGTGCAGCCTCATCAGTGCCCATAAATCAGTGCCGCCTATCAGTGCTGCATATCAGTGCAGCCTTATCAGTGCCTTCTCATCAATGCCCACCAGTGCTGCCTCATCAGTGCCGCATATCAGTGCAGCCTCATCAGTGCCCATAAATGCCGCCTATCAGTGCCCATCAGTGCCCCATATCAGTGCAGCCTCATCACTGCCTTCTCATCAATGCCCACCAGTGCTGCCTCTCAGTGCCCATCAATGCCGCCTATCAGTGCCCATCAGTGTACACATATCAGTGCAGCCTCATCAGTGCCCATAAATGCTGCCTATCAGTGCCGCATATCAGTGCAGCCTCATCACTGCCTTCTCATCAATGCCCACCAGTGCTGCCTCATCAGTGCCCATCAATGCCGCCTATCAGTGCCCATCAGTGTACGCATATCAGTGCAGCCTCATCAGTGCCCATCAATGCCGCCTATCAGTGCAGCCTTATCAGTGCCTTCTTATCAACGCCCACCAGTGCTACCTTATTAGTGCCTTCTCATCAATGCTGCCTATCAGTGCAGCCTCATCAGTGCTGTATATAGGTGCCGTATATTAGTGCCTTCTCATCAATGCCCACCAGTGCTGCCTCATCAATGCCCATCAATGCCGCCTATCAGTGCCCATCAGTGCAGCCTCATCAATGCACATCATTGAAGGAGAAAACTGACCCATTTGCTAAAATTTTATATTAGAAACAAAGAAAAACTTTCTTTTTTGTTTCATAACTGTTGGTTTTTTTTCATTTATAGTGAAAAAAAAACTAAAAAAAAAACTAAAAAAAAAAAAACTCCAGTGGTGATTAAATACCACCAAAAGAAAGCCCTTTCATTTGGGTACAATGTTGCATGACCGCGCAATTGTCATTCAAAGTACAACAGCGCTGAAAGCTGAACATTGGTCTGGGCAGGAAGGGGGTGAGCGCCCGGTAGGCGAGGGGTTACCTTCTTCTTGGCGGTTTTCCTGAAGCGTCTTTTGCGCACATTCTTCAGCGGTAAAGTTACTGGAATGATAAGAATGTTTCACAATGGCAGCAAATACACAACATACGTATCTGTAGGGACCACCCCCATAACTTCCCGGGACCACCCCCATACCCCCCCTGTACCCGCCCCCATACCCCTCTGACCCGCCCCCATACCCCTCTGGACCCGCCCCCATACCCCATCCCTGGACCCCCCCCATCGGACCCACCCCCATACCACCCCCTACCGGTCATCACCGCTATCCATCCTGAAAGGAAGACTCACTGCCGTGATTCCATATGAACTTCTTCTCTCGGTCCCGGTCCTTCTTCTTGTTGCTCTTCGGATCACTTGCTGGCGCCGGCTCCTCCAGGGGAGGATACAGATCCCCGTCCAAGGTGCAAACCAGCATCTACAGCAAAGTCAAATACAACGACTCAGTACCTGTAAAAGGATTCGGTTGGGTCTCCTTCACACGTTGAGTCGCATACACTGGATTCCAGCAGCACAGTCCTGGTGCACGCAAACCGCGGCGGCCGCTCACCCTACGAAGGCTGCTGGCACGCTGACAGTCAGAGACGGATGTCCAAGCCTGGACGCTGGCAGGATCGATAGATATTTTTTTTTTTCGCATTTATGGAAGTTAATGGTAAGGCTCCATTCACACTTAATGCGACTTTTCATGCGACTTTGGGGTCCAAAGTCGCATGACAAGTCACCCCCCATGTTTCCCAATGGGTACCTTTCATATCCGTGCAATTTCAAGTCGCAGCAACTTCAAAGTAGTTCCTGCACTACTTTGGTCCGACTTTCACGTGACTTGAGGGTCTTAGACTTTAATGTAAACCCTCCAAAGTCGCATGAAAGTCGCACCTGAATGTTGTACATGCGAATTTGCATAGCAAAAACAATTATCCTTGGGCAAAGCAAAAGTCGCACCCAAGGGCGGACTGACAACTCATGGGGCCCCTGGGCAATAGGGGATCATGGGGCCCCTGTGTCCTTGCCCAAACTCAAAAAAGCCTATGAAAAAAAGGTACCAGGGGACATCTCATGGGGCCCCCTACTGCTCCTGGGCCCTTGGGCAGTGCCCGAGTTTCCAAATGGTCAGTTCACCCCTGGACTCGCACCAAAGTTGCATCAAGTCGCACTGTAAAGTAGCAATAGAATCACACGATTTTAGAGTTGCACAAGTGTGAAAAATGAAAAGGTGACCGAATACTATGCACCCTTCCCCCACCCCTCCATCATGAGCGGTCAGTGCTCACGGAGCCAATCCGGCAGTCCAGGGATCTGAATTCTACCTCTTTCTCTTCCAGGACGAACCACAGCAGTTCACTGTGCTGGCACCGACCAATCAAAATCTGATCTGTCCTGGAAGCCCTGCAGAAAGAAGAGCATGGACTTTCAAATCCCCAGGCCGCTGGACTGGCTGCGTTGGCACAGATAGCTCATCACCCACTGAGGTATGTACCGGGAAGGGTGTACAGTCCTAATTCCCCTTTTCATTTTTTTTCGGAAAAGGTGAACACTTTAATGCGATATTAAAAGCATTTAAATAAAAAATGTTATACTTGCCTGGTTTTGCACAGAGCCGCCCCAGATCCTCCTCTTCTAGGATTCGTCGCCGGCCCTTCTCGCCCCTCCTTCCTGCCTAGCAAGCTGTTTGCTATCGGGGCTCCCGAGCAGCTGCTGTGTGTGTCCATTTACACATGGAGCTGCGGCCTGGCCCCGCCCCTGCTGTCTCAGCCAATGAGGAGGGAGAGTCCCTGGAGAGCCGAGGCTCTTGTGCACATTGCTGGATCGCAATGGGGCTCAGGCAAGTATTAGGGGGCTTGTGGGAGGGAGCTGCACACAGAAGTTTTTTTTGTTATAGCAATGCACAGAATTGAAAATTCTGGACCGAAACTGAAAATTATGGATGCATTTGGCCAAAAAAAAAAAAACTAAACCAAAAAGGACTTTAAAAGAAAATAAGTAAAAAAAAAAAAAAAAAAAAAAAATTATATATATTTATTTTTTTATATAATTGTATTATATTTGACTTTTTAATTGATAGCATGAATTTAAATGAATATGAATTTAATTTCAGCACCTTTTAGGCCAGTAGGCTGCTTTCCCACTGAGCAGTTTAAGCATTTTTGCATAGTTAAAAAAAAATAAAAAAACTAAACCAAAATGGACTTTAAAAAAAAAAAAAAAAAAAAAAAAAAAAATTAAAAAATAAAAAAATAAAAAAAAAAAATATATATATATATATATATATATATATATATATATATATATATATTTTTTTTTTAATATATATAAATTTTATTATATTCGACTTTTTAATTGACATCATGAATTTAAATGAATATGAATTTAATTTCAGCACCTTTTAGGCCTGTAGGCTGCTTTCCCACTGAGCAGTTTAAGCATTTTTGCATAGTTAAAAAAAAATAAAAACTAAACCAAAATGGACTTTAAAAAAAAAAAAAAAAAAAAAAAGATTTAAAAATAAAAAAATAAAAAAAAAAAAAAAATATATATATATATATATATATATATATATATATATATATATATATATTTTTTTTTTTTTTTTTTAATATATATAAATTTTATTATATTCGACTTTTTAATTGATATCATGAATTTAAATGAATATGAATTTAATTTCAGCACCTTTCAGGCCAGTAGGCTACTTTCCCACAGAGCAGTTTTTAAAAGCATTTTTGCATTAAAAAAAAAAAAAAAAAAACTCAAGAAAACGGTGTCCCTTTAAATTCAATGTAGGCCTTTACCCTGGTCCATTGCACTTCCCTTGCGGTGTTAAAAATCCTGCTTGCACATTTTTGGTGCAAATTTGGCGACTAAAAAAAACCCTCCCAACTGAGGCCTGGTTCACACCAATGTGTTTTAAACACAAAACATTGGTTCAATATACCTCAATGTAGACGCTTCAGAAAACGCATGTAGTGAGTTTTTAATGCCTTTTGTGTTTTTAATCCGCTCACCAAGTTGGTGAAAAAAAATGCAAAGTGTTGCGATTCCTGTGTGAATGACATGCGGTGTCCCGTGCCGCATTCGTGTGATCCCGGTCCCAATCATACCATCACTCAGTCCTAAGCCTTACCTGGCAGATGTCTGCAGTTTTGTAGAAAGTCTTCTTGTCGATCGTTTTCAAACACTCGGTCACACATGGGATATCCACCAACTTTGCAGCGAGGGGCACCCTGTCGACTCGCACAATTCCGTGACGTCCGTCGGCTATAGTAAACAAAAACCAAAAAACACAAATAAAAGTTGCGCATTCATCTAATGCACCAAAACTGCGCACATACCGTTTCTGGTATTGTGCCGCAACACCCGTCAGTCAGCAAGGTGCAATGCGGTCCTATTCAGAAGGACGGGCACAACAGGCCCTGAGGCCGTGGTGCAGAGACGTCACGTTTTTTTTTTCTGCAGGCGTTCTGAAAGGGCGCAGCGAAAATCAAACGTTCTCTAGGTGGCCTGTTCACATCGAAACACCGCTATCACATGAAGATTTTGTTTTCAGCACAGGAATCTGCAAGGTGTATAAAACTCATTGAATCGCGCATGGAAACGGGTGTCTCTGCAAAGAAATCTGCGCGTGTGCTGTGAACGAGGCCTTATACCGTGATCAGTGATAACACTATAATAATATAAAAAAATAAAAAAATACTATAATATTATAAATAATAAAAATACTATACTATAATATAAAATAAAAAAAAAAATACTATAATAATATAAAATAACAAAAATAAAAATTAAGTACTATAATAATATAAAATAACAAAAATAAATAAAATCCTATAATATAAATAATACAAATAAATAAAATCCTATAATAATATAAATAATACAAATAAATAAAATCCTATAATAATAATAATATAAATAATACAAATAAATAAAATCCTATAATAATATAAATAATACAAATAAATAAAATCCTATAATATAAATAATACAAATAAATAAAATCCTATAATATAAAATAATAAATAATAAATAAAATAATAATAACTAATATAAATAATAAAAATAAATAAAATACTAAATCACTGTACTAGTGACACTGGCTGGAAAGGAGTTAGGGGCACTCAAGGGTACCTAACAAGTGTTTAGTAAATATAAAAGCAGCACACATTACACAACTTAATATTGCTCCGTTTTTTTCTCCCTGCTTTTCAGGACGAAGAAGCAAGCTCAGTCAACCCAGCTGTGTGTGATGCATTGTCAACGGTACCCAGGTGTACAATCACAGCAGCTGCCGGAGCGCCCTAATCCCGGAAGTAGGGGGTGGGGCATTTTAAATGCTTTTGTGTAACTTATTTTTTGCAATAAAAAAAAAAATTATTTTTTTTGCTTACCTTTTTTTTCTTCTCATTACATAGGAGACACAAAGTCCCCTATTTGATGATTTTTAGGTGATGGGTTCTCTTTAATGAGCTATACGGGGGTCTAATAGACCCCCCAATGTCTCCTCTGGGCTCCACTGAATGTATTGCAATGCAGATCGCCGGGAAAGTGACAGCGGTGACCCCGGAAGTGACATCATACATTTCGCCTTCTGGGTCACAGAAAGAAGGGGAGGAAAGCGGAGATCCAGCCCCTCTACCCGGTGGTTTGTCAAACTCCATATATATATTACTTATATAAAAAAAGAATATATATATATCTATATATATAAAATTGTATTATATTCGACTTTTTAATTAATCTGAATTTATTTTCAGCACCTTTTCGGCCAATAGGCTGCTCCCACACTGAGCACTTTTTGCAGCGCAAGAAAAATGCGTCCCTTTAAATTCAATGTATGTCTTCACACTGGTCCGTTGCGCTTCCCTCGCGGATGCAGATCGCACTGCAACACATTCCATCACTGTTACTTTAGCCGGGGAAAGTGACAGGGATGACCGGGAAGTGATGCCGGACATGTCACTTTCTGGGTCTCAGCGAGTAGGGGACGTGCGCCCGTCCTCCTTCCTGCCCTCCATCCGCCATGTCAGGCCCCAGTCCTGCACATGGGCAACCAAAGCCAGGAATACACGGCAGGGGTGCGCGCATGGGGGAGGGGGCGACAAACCATTCCCGTAATGTGTGTAAGCAATCGGGTGGCCTGAATGCTTCTGCCTGTCAGTTTTACACACGATCCTGGTAGCTGCAGTGTGTAAGATTCCCCCCCCCCCCCGCTGTCCGGTTTGTAGGACGTACGCACCCGACAGCGGCCTTTTATGCTGCCGCACATGCGTTGTAAAGGGGGTTAAAGACGTACGGCGGTAGTGAAGGGGTTAAAAGGGCATTTTGCTGTTATTACTTACGATGCAACTCGATGGAAAGTCGATCTTTTGTGCTGACATTTCCGGACTGGACCATCCGCCGCACAGTGGACGCGTATTCCTGGGAGACCAAAATATCACGAAAAACACTTTTACAAATACAACCGAGCTAGGAAAAATATGCAGATGAGGCGTAAGACTTCCGATTGTTTCAATTCAGCTTGCAGATGGCCATACACATTTCAATCAGACAACACCTGAACTATGTACACGGCTCAAAAAATATGAAAGGCAGACTTTGTAATCCGAGTGACACTCCTGGGATATGGATCTGGTCAGGTAAGTCGCAGAGGGGGGTGGTAATCAGTTTCAGCTGCTTTGGTGTTCGTGAAATTAACGGTTTCCCGACCGCCCTATTGTAGAAATACTGCTACAGGGCTGCGCTAAATCATGTATATATGTGATTTTTCATTTCTGGGTAGGGGCGAGCACGCTGCCCTACCCCGCCCCGCCGTTGGTGGCTACAGCTGTCGGACACCGGGTCCCAGCCGAAGATTCTGCGCCGGCACCCGGCGATCGCCGAGGAACAGTGAAAGGGGAGAGGTCTGTATGTAAACAACACAGATCAAACCCCTGTCAGCTCCGACATGCTGCATTGGATCTGAGGTGTGAAGATGAAGGAATTGGGGTGATCCAAGGTGTGAAGGTGCAGGATTTGGGGAGATCCGAGGTGTGAAGGTGCAGGAATTGGGGAGATCCGAGGTGTGAAGGTGCAGGAATTGGGGAGATCCGAAGAGTGAAGGTGCAGGAATTGGGGTGATCCGAAGAGTGAAGGTGCAGGAATTGGGGTGATCCGAGGTGTGAAGGTGCAGCAATTGGAGTGATCCGAGGTGTGAAGGTGCAGCAATTGGAGTGATCTGAGGTGTGAAGGTGCAGGGATTGGGGTTGAGGTGTGAAGGTGCAGGAATTGGAGTGATCTGTAGTGTGAAGGTGCAGAAATTGGAGTGATCTGAGGTGTGAAGGTGCAGAAATTGGAGTGATCTGAGGTGTGAAGGTGCAGAAATTGGAGTGATCTGAGGTGTGAAGGTGCAGGAATTGGAGTGATCTGAGAGTGTGAAGGTGCAGGAATTGGAGTGATCTGAGGTGTGAAGGTGCAGGAATTGGAGTGATCTGAGGTGTGAAGGTGCAGGGATTGGGGTGATCCGAGGTGTGAAGGTGCAGCAATTGGAGTGATCCGAGGTGTGAAGGTGCAGCAATTGGAGTGATCCGAGGTGTGAAGGTGCAGCAATTGGAGTGATCTGAGGTGTGAAGGTGTAGGAATTGGGTTGAGGTGTGAAGGTGCAGGAATTGGGGTTGAGGTGTGAAGGTGCAGGAATTGGGGTTGGGTAGTGTGAAGGTGCAGGAATTGGGGTTGAGGTGTGAAGGTGCATGAATTGGGGTTGAGGTGTGAAGGTGCAGGAATTGGGGTTGAGGTGTGAAGGTGCAGGAATTGGAGTGATCTGAGGTGTGAAGGTGCAGGAATTGGGGGGATCTGAGGTGTGAAGGTGCAGCAATTGGAGTGATCCGAGGTGTGAAGGTGCAGCAATTGGAGTGATCCGAGGTGTGAAGGTGCAGCAATTGGAGTGATCTGAGGTGTGAAGGTGCAGGAATTGGGGTTGAGGTGAAGGTGTAGGAATTTGGGGTTGAGGTGTGAAGGTGCAGGAATTGGGGTTGAGGTGTGAAGGTGCAGGAATTGGGGTTGAGGTGTGAAGGTGCAGGAATTGGGGTTGAGGTGTGAAGGTGCAGGAATTGGGGTTGAGGTGTGAAGGTGCAGGAATTGGGGTTGAGGTGTGTGTGAAGGTGCAGGAATTGAGGGGGTGATCTGAGGTGTGAAGGTGCAGGAATTGGAGGGATCTGAGGTGTGAAGGTGCAGGAATTGGGGGATCTGAGGTGTGAAGGTGCAGGAATTGGAGTGATCTGAGGTGTGAAGGTGCAGGAATTGGAGTGATCTGAGGTGTGAAGGTGCAGGAATTGGAGTGATCTGAGGTGTGAAGGTGCAGGAATTGGAGTGATCTGAGGTGTGAAGGTGAATTGGAATTGGGAATTGGGGGATCTGAGGTGTGAAGGTGAAGGTGCAGGAATTGGGGGGATCTGAGGTGTGAAGGTGCAGGAATTTGGGGGATCTGAGGTGTGAAGGTGCAGCAATTGGAATGATCTGAGGTGTGAAGGTGCAGCAATTGGAGTGATCTGAGGTGTGAAGGTGCAGCAATTTGAGTGATCTGTAGTGTGAAGGTGCAGCAATTGGGGTGATCTGAGGTGTGAAGGTGCAGCAATTGGGGTGATCTGAAGTGTAAAGGTGCAGGAATTGGGGTTGAGGTGTGAAGGTTCAGGGATTGGGGTGATCTGAGGTGTGAAGGTGCAGGAATGGGGTGATCTGAGGTGTGAAGGTGCAGGAATTGGGGTTATCTGAGGTGTGAAGGTGCAGAAATTGGGGTGATCTGAGGTGTGAAGGTGCAGGAATTGGGGTGATCTGAGGTGTGAAGGTGCAGGAATTGGGGTGATCTGAGGTGTGAAGGTGCAGGAATTGGGGTGATCTGAGGTGTGAAGGTGCAGGAATTGGGGTGATCTTTCACATGGATCTTTCACATGGAAATTATTTTAGTAAATATAAACTGCTAAATACCTTTTCTCATCAGCAGTATAGAGCAGTCTTGTGACTTCTATCAGTGTCCAGCAGAGCACTGGTTAAAACGTGTAGGAGGAGTTTTCATTCTCCTCTCACTGTCCTATGATGCTGCATAACCCCTGACCCTCTGTCTAGACAGTGCTGATTGGCCCTGCATTGATCACATGCACTCTCCCAAGGAACAAAAAAAAAAAAAAAAAAAACCTCTCTAGCCATACACACTAAACAGAGCATGTGCAGAGCAGCTCCTAGAGCTATCAGCAGATGGATTGGGGACAGTAGAAGAAGGGGAGAATCAGAGAAGACAGGATCAAACAGCCTTTTTACACAATGCGGAGGATTAACCCCTTACAGTGAGTATAACAAGCATGCTTTACTGCATCTACAGACCGATTCTTTAACATAGAAATATGCTACGATCGTTCTACTATAACCATTATTATGAAGGTTCTCCATACCGGAGGAAGCCTCAGAATGTACTGACTTTCCAGTTCATGGGGAGCATCGTCCTTATTCCGCGATGCCTTCTGCTCTGTAGGAGGAAAAAAAAAATAAAAAATCACTGACTACAATGTACAAAATACATCGATCTCTGTAAGAAATGATCTCTGCAAACTGAGGGCACCTAAGGCACTGCTGCCTCTGACTGCTGGTCTCACCAGATTTGCAGTGAGATTTGGTGATGTCACTACTGTGTTGCTCACTATTCTTGCTGGAGAGAAAGCTGTACCTGAGGACTTGCAGTGCAAGGATCTCCCTGCTTCCAAACCTGGTAGTCTCTGGAGATTTGGAGATGTCACTACTGTCCTGTTCTCTGTCCTCCTTGCTGGAGAGGAAGCTGTACCCAAATACCTGCAGTGCAAGGATCTCCCTGCTTCCAAACCTGGTAGTCTCTGGAGATTTGGAGATGTCACTACTGTCCTGTTCTCTGTTCTCCTTGCTGGAGAGGAAGCTGTACCCAAATACCTGCAGTGCAAGGATCTCCCTTCTTTCAAACCTGGTAGTCTCTCGAAATTTGGAGATGACACTACTGTCCTGTTCTCCTTGCTGGATAGGAAGCTGTACCTAAAGACTTGCAGTGCATGATCTCCCTGCTTCCAAACCTAGTAGTCTCTGGAGATTTGGTGGTGTCACTACTGTGCAGCTCACTGTTCTCCTTGCTGGAGAGGAAGCTTTACCCAAATACCTGCAGTGCAAGGATCTCCCTGCTTCCAAACCTGGTAGTCGCTAGAGATTTGGAGATGTCACTTCTGTCCTGTTCTCCTTTCTGGAGAGGAAGCTGTACCCAAATACCTGCAGTGCAAGGATCTTCCTTCTTTCACACCTGGTAATCTCTCGAAATTTGGAGATGACACTACTGTCCTGTTCTCCTTGCTGGATAGGAAGCTGTACCTAAAGACTTGCAGTGCATGATCTCCCTGCTTCCAAACCTGGTAGTCTCTGGAGATTTGGTGGTGTCACTACTGTGCAGCTCACTGTTCTCCTTGCTGGAGAGGAAGCTTTACCCAAATACCTGCAGTGCAAGGATCTCCCTTCTTCTAAACCTGCTAGTCTCTAGAGATTTGGAGATGTCACTACTGTCCTGTTCTCTGTTCTCCTTGCTGGAGAGGAAGCTGTACCTAAAGACTTGCAGTGCAAGGATCTCCCTGCTTCCAAACCTGGTAGTCTCTGGAGATTTTGGTGGTGTCACTACTGTGCAGCTCACGGTTCTCCTTGCTGGAGAGGAAGCTGTACCCAAACACACCCGTGCGTCTCACAAGAGGTCATGCGACAAAAAAAAAAAAAGCATCTACACCGCAACACGTGTGCGTTTTCAACGCATTTCAGGCCTGGTTCACACCACGTTTGCGTTTTGCAGTGCGTTTTGCGTTTGACGTGTTTTTTTTTTTAAAACTTTTTTTGACCAATTTGTTGCTGGGCAGATTAAAAACACAAAACACATTAACAATGCCACGCCTGTTTGTTTTTTTTTATGCGTTTTCAATGCATTTCAGGCCTGGTTGACACCAATACAGTTTGTGTCTTGATGTGCGTTTTTGATTTTTTTTTTTTTTTTAATGTGTCTTTTAGACCCTGTATGTCGCATTAAAGAGAACCCGTCACCTAAAAAAAATTTTTTTTAATTGCAAAAAATTAAAGTCACACCTAAGCTCATAACATCCCCCCCCCCCCCCAAAATGTTGAGGCTCCAACCCCACATATACGAATTACGTAAACGTAGAAGCGCACATCGGGGCGCCAATGCGTGAAAACAAAAATTGCGATACACGTTACATATCGCTGCGCACGCCAGAGTGAGAGCAATAATTCTAGCACCAGACCTCCTCTGTAACGCCACACCGATAACCAATAGGGGGCTTTCAAAGCGTCGTCTATAAAAAAAAAACAAAACAGGGTACTGAAGTTTGTCGCCATTTCACGGGTGCGCGCAAATTTAAGGTTTGACACGTTGGGTATCTATTTACTCGGCCCGACCTCGTCTATTATATTTTACCAAAAATCTTGGTAACTTATTGTGTTTGTTTACCCTACAATTCACTTTAGTGTGTTTTTTTTTTTTTTTTACTGAAATTGTGCGTTTTCTAGACTTTTGTGGTAATATCACGTGACCTAAAAAATTGGAACTGCCGCTATTTTATTCTCCAGGAGTGTCTGCTTTCAGAAAAAAAATTATATCATGTTTTTTTTGGGGGGGGGGGGTAATCTTCAGGCCTGAAAAATAATTTTTTAAACATGTAAAAAAGTAAAAACAAAAAAAAACAAAAAAAATGACTCTGGCAGTGACAGGGTTAATCTAAAATAAAGCGCTCAATAATGAAGATACATTACTTGCAGACGTCATTTGGATTTCCCACCGATGACTTGGACTGTTCTGGAAGAAAAAAAAAAAATTAGTTTGAGTAACAAAATAACACAGCTTTCTATCCTCCCCAGCAGATCTAGGAAAACAAAAAAAACAAACAAACTCCAAAACAATAAAAATCAAATACATTCAGCAAAGATACAGCCTCCATATATTCAGCAAAGGGACATCCCAATCAAGCAAAAAGACATCCCAATGCAGCAAAGAGACACTCCCATATATTAAAAGAGACATCCCAATCCAGCAGACATCCCCATACATCCAACAAAGAGACATCCCCATATATTCAGAAAAAAAAAACCATCCCAATTAGGCATCCCCATATATTCAGCAAAGATACAGCCTCCATATATTCAGCAGAGGCATCCCAATCCAGCAGAGACACCCCCATATATTCAAAGAGACTTAATCCATCAGACACATCCCCATATATTCAAAGACACATCCCAATACAGCAAAGAGGCATCCACATATATTCAAAGAGACATCCCAATCCAGCAGAGACATTACCGTATATTCAGCAAAGAAATATCCATATCTAGCAAAGATACATTTCCATATATTCAGAGACATCTCCATATATCCAGCAAAGAGACATTCATATCCAACAAAGAGACATACCCATTTATTTAGCAAAGAGACAGCCCCATATATTCAAAGAGAGAGCCCATTAAATTGGTTGCGTGACTCAATAAAAAAAAGTCGCGTGACTCAAAAAAAAAAGTCGCGTGACTCAAAAAAAAAAGGTCACGTGACTCAAAAAAAAAAGGTCACGTGACTCAATAAAACAAAAAAGGCCACGTGACTCAATAAAAAAAAAGGCCACGTGACTCAATAAAAAAAAAAGGCCACGTGACTCAAACAAAAAAGGCCACGTGACCTTTTTTTTTTTTTTTTTTTATTGAGTCACGCAACTTTTTTTTGAGCAGGGGCAGACTGACCATTTGGAAACTCGGGTTCTGCCCGAGGGCCCAATGTCAGTAGGGGGCCCCATGAGGTGCCCCTGGTACCTTTTTCATAGGCTTTTTTGAGTTTGGGCAAGGACACAGGGGCCCCATGATCCCCTATTGCCCGGGGGCCCCATCAGTTGTCAGTCCGCATCTGTTTTTTGAGTCATGTGTTTTTGATGCATTTTGCATTTTTAATCTGCCCAGCCAAAAATTGGAAACAAAAAATAAATTAAAAAAAAAAAACGCAAAATGCAACAAAACGCAAAAAAAAAAAAAAAAAAGTAAAAAAAACGTGTGTATAAAAGCAAAACGCAGTGCAAAAAGGACAAAATGCAAACTGCATTGGTGTGAACAAGGGCTGAAATGCATGGAAAACGCATGGAAAAACACGTGTTATGTTTTTTGATGCATTTTTAATCTGCCCAGCAAAAATGAAAAAAAAAAACAAAAAAACCAAAACGCACCAAAAAGCGTCAAAAACACCCACGCAAAACACTGCAAAACGGACAAAACACAAACTGCACTGGTATGAATCAAGCCTGAAATGCATTGAAAATGCAGCAAAAACGCATCAAAAATGCATGTGCTGCATTTTTGATGCATTTTGCAGTGTTAGTCCAGCCACAAGTTGGGAAAAAAAAACATTTAAAAAGCGTAAAAACGCAAGCTGTATTTGTGTGAACCACAAAAAAACACAAAATGCATCAAAAATGCCCGTGCAAAACAGACAAAACGCAACCTGCATGTGTAGGAACCAGGCCTGAAATGCATTGAAAAACACACGAAAAATGCACACCAATGATGGGACACTATTCCTCCCACTGAACACCAATGATGGGGCACTATTCCTTCCACTGACACCATGATTGGGGCACTGCATTCCTCCCACTGATACCAATGATGGGGCACTATTCCTCCCACTGATACCAATGATGGGGCACTATTCCTCCCACTGACACCAATGATGGGGCACTATTCCTCCCACTGACACCAATGATGGGGCACTATTCCTCCCACTGACACCAATGATGGGGGCACTATTCCTCCCACTGACACCAAATGATGGGGCCTACCACTTGATGGGGCACTATTCCTCCCACTGACACCAATGATGGGCACTATTCCTCCCACTGACACCAATGATGGGGCACTATTCCTCCCACTGACACCAATGATGGGGCACTATTCCTCCCACTGACACCAATGATGGGGCACTATTCCTCCCACTGACACCAATGATGGGCACTATTCCTCCACTGACACCAATGATGGGGCCTATTCCTCCCAATGACCGACACCAACGTATGGGGCACTATTCCTCCCAATGACACCAATGATGGGGCACTATTCCTCCCACTGATACCAATGATGGGGCACTATTCCTCCTCCCACTGACATCAATGAATGGGGCACTATTCCTCCCACTGACACCAATGATGGGGCACTATTTCTCCCACTGACATCAATGATGGGGCACTATTCCTCCCACTGACAACCAATGATGGGGCACTATTCCTCCCACTGACACCAATGATGGTAGACACTATTCCTCCCACTGACACCAATGATGGGGCACTATTCCTTCCACTGGCACCATGATGGGGCACTATTCCTTCCACTGACACCAATGATGGGGCACTATTCCTCCCACTGACATACCAATGATGGGGCACTATTCCTCCACTGACACCAATGATGGGCACTATTCCTCCCACTGACACCA